GGCGTAACTGTCACTCAACTGCCCGTATATCCTGCTACTGGCCTACCTGGGCTGGGGGCCACCAAGGGCTTAACCCAGAGATTTTGCCCACATCGATGGAGGGCTCCCCGCTGTGGGCGGCGGCAAACCATCGGAATCCCCCGCCACTCCCGATCTGGGAGGTACTCGGCCCCCCCAGGGGTACCGGGTTCGTGGACCGAAGATGACAGCCTCCATATCGGCCTGGGGCACTCACTCACTCCCAACATGCCACCACCTCTGAACACTACCTCGCTACATACATCACAGGCTCCGACAAGGGCTGGAAGCCGAGGGGTACCTCACACATGGGCCGCAACAGTCCTCCATCTGATGGACTTACCGCTACCTCCGAGCAGTGCCCAGACGGGGAGTAGGGTGAAGAATCTCTGTATGGCGGAAAACTTGCTTACCAGACGCCGACCACTTGCTACATCAGCGGATGACCCGAAGCTAAATAGGTGCCCAAGTTTTTGAGGATGCGACCCAGGATCCCATGAGCATGTTTAACGTACTTTCTTATTTTTTATACATTTTTTAACATGAGTCCTGACACCAACTATCCTGCCTATTTGTCCTCTCATGTTTTAGTGTTAGCAATGCAACGTGCGGGTGACCCAGTGGTATTTGCTTATTAGACACTAGCTACATGATTTAAGCTTGTTTACTTTTATTTTATTATCTCTCAACAAGTCCTACACATAGAGAGGCTTCTCACTCTAACTAGCCTAACTTCTCTGCAGCATGCATACACTCTCTGTTAGACCGCAATATTTAATTTCTGCATGTCTAGAAAAGTTCCTGCCAAAGAAGTGTATTTTGTATTGATCGTTTAGACATGAATACTTAATTTGAATATGATACTCTATAAAAACTGTGCTGTATTTTCACATGCTAACCAACTGTTAAACTATGTTTTTTAATATACTTGTCAATGCTGTTGGGGCATTGCGAGCTACCTTGTTATATTTCCATGCACTCCAAAAAAAAAGAATAAAAAAGAAAAAAGAAAAGAAAACAGTATTATGACTAGAGATGTCGCGAACTGCTCGCCGAACTGTTCGCGAACTGTCCGTCGGCGAACAATAGCGTGTTCGCGTTGGGCGAACATATGCGATTTCCCCCTATTCGTCATCACTTTGACCCGGAACCTCACAGTCAGCAGACACTTCCTGGGAGGGATGGTCTGCTGCTGATTGGCTGGAATGTGTCTGCTGACTGTGAGGTTCCGGGTCAAAGTGTACTCAATGATGACGAATAGGGGACGGACCGGAAATCGCATATGTTCGCCCAACGCGAACACGCTATTGTTCGCCGGCGGACAGTTCACGAACAGTTCGGCGAGCAGTTCGCGACATCTCTAATTATGACATACATAGTTAAAATGTCATGCAGAACTAAAAAAAAATAAAATTCTTAATTTCTCATTTTGTTTATATTTTATTCATATTAAATTATGTTTAATAGCAAAAATTTTGAGGTTAAATGAAAGCCCTATTTTTCCTGAATAACATGATATATAATAAGTGTGGGTGCACTTAATATGAAAGAGGGGAATTACGGTTGAACATAATTGGCTCAGTCCTTAAGGGGTTAAATGTGGATCCAGTTTGTTGCTGTTGACAAACACTTGATGTCATGATTTTGGGGGCCCTTACCCATCGTTCCTGTTTAATACCAGGGACGTTTTAGCCGCGAGGCAAACAAGGCATTTGCCTTGGGCGGAATTTTCCAGGGGGCAGCAAAAAAAGCCGCCCCCAAATGCCCAGGGCAAATGTCTTGTTAGCCTTGAGGCTAACTAAAAATCCGGTCGGGCGGATTCCGGCTCCCAGCATCACTTTGCCGTGCGCAAGCGAGCTGAGCAGAGTGCTCTGGGGAAAGTGCTCCCTTGCCAGCACCGCCCGCCCGACCACCCAACAGCCCCAGGGAGAAGGAGAATCCCCCCCCCAGCATTCCAAAAGGTAAGAAGGCGAGGGGGTTAAATAAAAAAAAGGCGAGTGTGTGTGTTAATGTGAGTGAGTGAGTGTGTGTGTATGTCTGTTAGTGTGTGTGTTAGTGCGTGTGTGTCTGTTAGTGTGTGTCTGTTAGTGTGTGAGTTAGTGTGTGAGTGAGTGTGTGTCTGTTAGTGTGTGTGTTGCCTGTTAGTGAGTGTGTGTGTCTGTTAGTGTGTGTCTGTTAGTGTGTGAGTGAGTGTGTGTGTGTCTGTTAGTGAGTGTGAGTGTGTTTGCCTGTTAGTGAGTGTGTGTGTCTGTTAGTGAGTGAGTGTCTGTTAGTGAGTATGAGTGTGTTTGTTAGTGTGTGTGTGTCTGTTAGTGTGTGTGTGTGTGTGTGTTAGAGTGTGTGTGTCTGTTAGTGAGTGTGTGTTTCTGTTAGCTAGTGTATGCGTATCTGTCAGTGAATGTGTGTGTGTATTTAGAAGGCAGGGCAGGGGGGAAGGGTTGGGTAGGGGGGGGGGGGGGGGCTGAGTTTTGTCCTGCCTAGGGCAGCACAACACCAGGATACACCACTGGTTCTAGCACCAAGAACAAATAACTAGGAATACGGTACAGGCATGGAGAATCTGGAAAGGACAATCAGTTCAGTAACCAGGAAATAGCAGAAATGCCTTGTGAGAAACTGTCTGCAAGGCACAGTACTTCTGAGAAATGAGGAAGCGTCTTGTGTGGCTTTATATAGGGGTAGCTGGGATACACCCACTCCTGTGTCATACCTGTGCCACTGACATCACAATTATTCTGTTCTGCCCATCTCCATTATAATTTGCATATTTTGGAGCATGTGCACTGCTATGATGTTAATAGAGGATACAGAATGCTAGTTGCCTCAAAAGTGATGCAAAGGATGTAATTTGAACCACATGGCCGTCATTTAGAGAAGCAAGCAGTGATGATCATGTTGAAGATTTCTATATTCTTTGAGGAGTTTTGGAACATTGTCCAAGCCGGGAATCTCACCAGAAGCTCTCGTAGTGGACAATGAACGTGAATTGGAGTGGTGCAGAAGCTCCTGGTGAGCAAGTACTGCTGGGAGAAAAGTGAGATCCTGACACTTGAGCTATTTCACTCAGGTTACCAAAGTGTTTGTCTTTGTTAACTTTAACCAGTATATGCTACTAGATACAACTTCCAAGTCACCCGCCCATGGACCACCTTCCTCATCCTGTGTGAACTCATAGTATGGAATGGTATGCTTGTGGGTCACATGTTGCTTTTGTTAATGGGAATTAATATGATAGTCAGGTTTGGAATTCACATGCACATGAAACAAAATATGACTAGTTTGTATGATTACAAATTATTCCATATGTATTCATTACACAACAAAAAATTGAAGTAATTTCTGGAAACTGCTAGAAACTAGAATGCATTAGCAGATGCCTCTAGTATTTCAATTCACTCAAATGTGTATTCACATAGTGTTAACATAAATCAAGACTCAACTGAACACAATGAGGATTTAATGGAAATGCTAAAGCTGTTTACTAGGTATTGAATATTTCAAGAACTTTTGCCCAGGTATGAGATGGGTTCACTTCGCAGGTAAGATGATCTCAGATTCTGAGAACACTTGGGGTGTGTGGAAAGTGTCCATTATATAGAGGTAAGTGTGAACTATAGACACTCAGCTTTTTAATTTTGTGAGTAGACAGAGCACCTCAATTCACTTCACCATCTGAATACAGCATTTAAACATTGTGGTATAACTGACATAATTGAAAATTGTGCTACAGAAACTGATGAATTATTTAACATGTGTTTTCCTCAAATAAAAAAAATAAAAAACAAAAACAAAAAAAACAATATATATATATATATATATATATATATAAAATACCGGCACTCCAGGTTTTGGTAAAAAAAAATAAGTTCTTTATTCTTACAGATCAAAACGGACCTTTGGATCTGTAAGAATAAAGAAGAAATTATCTTTTTTTACCAAACCCTGGAGTGCCGGTATTTTTTCATTATTTATACTATATGTGACCAGAGCACCAGGTAAAGTTGAAGTGCAGGAGCCTTGGATATATATATATATATATATATATATATATATATATATATATAAAAACTTTTATTTTTTTCCATTATGGATGCCAACAATACAATTGTTTAGCCTATTTTTCTATTATTTTTATTTTACCTTGGGCATTTCCATATGCTGGTAATTCCGTAACAAAATAATAACTAACCTTGCTTTCCACATTTATTACCATTCTGACATATTTTGTGTGCTATGTCTGAAATAGGCCTAATTAGAACAGACTTGTTAGGACTCGGATATGATTCTCCAGATTACTTTCCAGGAACCTGGGAGAGTCTGCCATTGTTTTAGAAAGAAAACATGTGAGGCTTCAAATGACATCAAAGCAGTAGGAACTTCTCCATACAATCGGAATATAACAAAGTAAATTCAGCATAACAAACAAATGTAAAAAAACAATATTAAAAACTATATTACTGGAAAAAAAATGCATTGCTATTTTGTAAAAAATGTTTAATCTCTGTCCTACTTGAACATGTTGCAAACAAATAGACAGTCTAACACAGTTACAGGCAAACAGTCACACACACACATACTCAGTTACTGACAGTCACACACACACTCAGTTACAAGGAGACAGTGACACACACACACACACACTCTCTCTCTCTCTCTCTCTCAGTTACAGGCAGTCACACACAGTTACAGTGACACACACAGGCAGTCACACACACAGTTACAGTCATACACAGGCAGACAGTCACACACACACAATTACAGGCAGAAAGTCACACACACTCAGTTAAAGGCAGACAGTCATTCACACACATTCAGTTAGAGTCACACGTAGGCAGACAGTCACACACACAGTTATAGTCACACACAGGAAAATGAATGAGTTTACTGTCACTTTAAGAAGATTTGATTTATTGATTTTAGGTATTTCAATTTAACAATTGTCTTTAGCAATATAAATTGTAAATAATATTCCATAAAGTAAAGGTAGCTCCTGTTTAGGAATGCTTAACATAGATCATTAGACGTCAGTAGAAATAATGAAATAAAGTAGATCTAGATTAGGATTGTATAACATAGTCCATTAGACTTCAGTTGCAATAAGGAAATAAAGCAGATCCTGATTAGGAATGTATAACACAGTCCTTTAGACTTTAGTTACAATTATGAAATAAACGTAGTAAACATTCATCAATTGATCAGGTTACTTTCAACAAAGCAAATTGTATAAGAAGCAATATAGGATCCCAGAGGGCAGACGTAAGTATTCCCTTTTATCCTTACAAATAACTGTAACTATGAACCAATTAATAATCCCAGTAAACTGGAGAACTTAGCTTCATTGCTGTAGATGTTAATAAAGGAAGTCCTTTCGAGATTAGCGAAGATAGAGGTTCACTGAAGTAATTTGGGGATTAAGGGTAAACGTAGTCAAAGTCCGTTCCGAGTCTGGGAGATGATGTCAGCAATGTCGGTATCAAGTATCAGAGGTTTGGTACACAGCTTATTGAGAGAAGGAGCTCCATTGGCACTTAGCAACAATTTGGTAACAAATTGATTGAGCGATCTGACCGTGGCTGCGGCTTCCTTTTACTATGGAAGCACGTGACATCAGACGCATGGGCGAAGTTGCATCGGCGAAAACCCGGAAGTCATTACAGGTGAATGCCGATCGGATAGAAATTATAGTAGAAATCATGACAGACAGTCACACACAGAGTTACAGTCCCACACAAGCAGGCAGTGACATACACAGTGACAGTCACACACACAGTTACAGTTCACACACAGGCAGATAGTCACACAGGCAGACAGTCACACACATTTACAGTCACACACAGGCATATAGTCACACACACAGTTACCTCTTTCTATTATGGGCTGGAAGGGAGGAGTGGAGGCATTGTAGCGCCTGGGGTTTAGTTGTTGGGGAAGCAGGGACTCCTTCCAGCTTCCCCCTTCCTGTGCAGAAATTACCAGGCTTTGGCTTCTGGGAGGTTTTAGCCCTGCTGCCATTTTATCCCCACCCCTGCTGTCATGTTATTTTCTTTGATAATCGCAGGCAGAGAATAATTAAATCCTCCACCCGGGTACCCAGAACTGCTTTAGCACCCCTTTCACAACTGTCATTCGGTGCATGTGTGAGCTGTGTCACCCACATGGCTGCCCCTGCTGCCATGGCACCCTGTACGGCCGCACACCTCGCACACCCCTAAGGCTAGCCCATAATTTGTGATGCTAGCCCATCGTTTGTGATGCTTCTAATTGACTGTTCTTTATACTTGGCTTAAAGGGACACTATCACATGTTTGGTGGACACTAGAACAACTACAGCTTATTGCATTAGTTCTGGTGAGTATAACTAGTCATTTCATGCTTTTTGCAGTAAACAGTTTTTTTCAGAGAAAGGGCAGTGTTTACATTACAGCCTATAGACAGATTTCAGAATTTCAAAATATTTGATACACTACTAACCTCAACATCTTAGGAAAGGGAGTAATTATTTCAGATAACTTAAAGGCAGACAATGTAATAGAGTAGCAGGAGATGCTAGCGGTATGCTTGGTTGTATAAGGAGAGGTATAAGCAGTAGAAAGAGGGAAGTGCTCATGCCATTGTACAGAACACTGGTGAGACTTCACTTGGAGTATTGTACGCAGTACTGGAGACCGTATCTCCAGAAGGATATTGATACTTTGGAAATAGTTCAGAGGAGGACTTCTAAACTGATTCATGGATATCAGGATAAAACTGTATGTTTCATACCGTGATCACCCAGCAAGACTTGCTGTTTTGGAGATGTTCTGACACAATGGCCATCATTATGTGACCTTGTCAAAGTCACTCAGATCTTTTTGATTGACCATTTTTCCTGCTTCCAACACATGAAATTCAAGAACTAACTGTTCAGATGCTGCTAATATATTCCACACCTTGACAGGTGCCATTGTAATGATATAATCAATGTTATTCATTTCACCTGCCAGTGGTTTTAATGTTGTGGCAGATCAGTGTGGACTCCTAATTAGAGTGAAATTGTGCAGGTAGACTGCATCACACTTTCACTGGGCTATTGAGAACTAATCAGGTTAGACATCAACCATTGAAGATGTTGACTATGTAACAAAAGTTATATAGAAAACGATATTTATCATTTTGTCTTCTGCTTAGAAAGTTCATTGATTAAGGTATTGCCAGAAGTCACCGACTGTCATGTCTGTGAAAAAGCTTCAATAATGGCTATAAGAACCCACTACAGGTCCTTCTTAGCTATGACATTTAAAAACAAATGTGGGTAGCTGTAACTATTGATATTTTACCAGAAACATACATTTGGAGATAGGAGTAAAGTAAACATCATTAAAAATCTGGCATTTGGTAGGTGAAAAGGGTTACTCCATTAACTTTCTTAACTTCATTTATTTTAATAGTAAAATACTTCTTCCAGGTCCTAGTCCAATCAAATGTTTCTCATAGAGACTTGAGGCACATGCATGACAAACCCTGCAAACTTGCCAATCCGTTTGGTCACATAAATCTAATGAATCTAATGCTTTTCTATATGAAGTATTAAACAGAGGAAGTGTATGCTTGCAAAAAGATCATCCAAGAGGGTGGATAAGGGGAGTGGAAGGTAGAATTTGGGAGGAAAAGAGGCAGAGGACACATTTGTGTGAGAGATAGCTATCACCAAGGAGGGAGAAAGTAGAGTTACATTGAGTGATGTCACTAAGGACAGAGAGGAGGCACATCATGAGACTGATGAGACTGTGCGCGCGAGTCGTATCCACCTAGTCCAAAGGGCTTCTACTTGCAGACACACTCAAAGTGCTGCTTGCAGACACACTCAAAGTGCTGCATACATCGCCAGCCCACAGCGCGTCCTGATGACACACATTATGTTTGTACAGATCCTGGCTGCCTAAGTCACGTGTGCCGGAGGTGCAACTTGATCCTGGCACAAAAGTGAAGATATGATTGTATGTGTATTTAAGGAGAAAAACTGCATATACAGCAGAAGTATTCATGGAGCCTGGGCTAGCCTTTTAAGTAAATGAATGTATTTTTTTACTGTATTGAAAGACATTTGAAACAAAATCATTATTCAATACACCCATCAACATATTAATACAGTTGATAAACATGTTCAGTCACATGAAATAAATACATCATAGGTTAACCATCAACTATACCATGGGGAACAAAAAATCAATTGCAGAGAAAAGTGTATTTAAAAGAGTCAATAAAAATATATACATCAAGTGTTAAAAATAAAAATCTAAAAGGAATTACTACCCATTACTTTTTAAGTGGTTGCTGGGTGGGTTGGATATATTTTACAATTTATTACTAAACCATGACTTGGGCAAATTCAAAATAATTTGGCAAACAGTCACAATGGTTATAGTTGGGTTAGAGAACTTTTTCGTCCATCACATTCAGTTTTGATTTCACAAATGAACAAAACAAAAAAATAAAACTACTGCACTGTTTAGTTAAATAAACCATTTGTATTTTTAACAAAAATAATCTATTTTATTTTGAAAGCATTTTATAGAGTACTTATAGTTGCAGTAGGTTGTCAAATCAAATTCCTTTTCTCAGCCCTATTGCTTGGGACTTACAATGAATACCTTTAGTAAGTATTGAATGGAATAAATATAAGCAAAATATAAGCTGGTTTGGGTAGAATCATACAACTTTATTTGTTAAGTGTTTATGTAATTGTTTACTGCAAAAGGCCTTAAGGGAATGATTATACTCACCGGGACAACTACAATATGCTGTAGTTGTTCTGGTGACTATAGTGTCCCTTTCAGTTCAGCAATTGGGTCTCAATGTGTTTAATCACATAGATATCTCCTCTTGCCTACCAAATGTATGAATGGATTTTCAGCTGCTGTTTCCCAATATCAAAATCCTACCATTAGTGAAAGGGAATTACCAGCAGCTGGTAACAATTCTCCCATAGAGTTTAATAAAAGATAACCTTTGTCCACTGAAAAGAAACAAAATCAAGTTAACAAGTGCAAAGCCTAATATATCATATAGGGAGAATACATGTTAGCTATATGGCATTACATTCCTTAAAAGGTTACTCCAAGCATGATAACTAGTGATGTCCCAAACGGTTCGCCACGGACGGCGAACAAATGCGGTAAACTTTGACCCTGTACCTCACAATCAGCAGACACATTCCAGCCAATCAGCAGCAGACCCTCCCTCCCAGACCCTCCCACCTCCTGGATGTGCCGCCATTTTGTTTCACCTCCATTTTGTGTCAGTGGTCCACAGATCAGGACTGAGAAGAGTGCTTTGGAGCACAAACAAGAAGAGAAGAAGAGGAATTTGTGGTTAGGAGTAGACAAGAAGAGAGATGAGGATCAGGAACACAGTTACTGAAGATAAAGGGAAGTCTAAAAAACATGTTTAGATTGTACTGTATTCTTTTTGTGCTTTCATCGGCATATATTACAGATCCTGTCATATTATTGTACTGTGTGCTATTGAGTATAGATTTGACTTGATTTGTCTGTGTGTGTCTGACATAGCTGTCTGTGTGTATGTGTGTTTGACATTGTGCCATGTTTTGGCAGGCAGCAATAGTAAGGAGCAGGAAGAGGGCTGAAAAGCCTGAAAAAGGGGAGAAGGAAGAAAGTTTGAGAGCTGTAAAAGTAAAAGGAGTAACAGAAAAGTGCTAAAAAAAAAAAAGAGATGCAAGCTTGAAAGTAAGAGAGGAGAAGGAGGAGAGTTTGAGAGGTGTAAAAATAAAAGGAGTAAAGGAAAAGAGATAAAGGAGAGGAGGAAGCTGATAATGAAGAAAATGAATAAGTATGAGGGTTTAAGAGAGGTTCCCCATTCAACAAGTGCAGCATGTCTCTTCATTAAATAGTATGAGGATTGATAATTTAAAGAAGATTTCAATATGGTATGCATGCCTTTAAAATTCCTACAACATACATGTATTTGCTATGCTTTCATGTTGTATTTGTAAACCAATCGAAACCAATTAGTTTGTAAAGTCAGGAACTACCTGTATGTCATTTCATCATTATTATTATTTTATTATATTACAATATTGCCACTATTATCATAATATTATCATACTATTATCATTTTTTTTAATATGTTTTACTTCACTCTTTATTTTTATTTATTTTTGTCACGGGCTGTTACCCTAACTTACAGGATATGGGAAACTCAAAAAGGAGGGTCAATAATAGACGTATTAACTGGTCCGTAGAGTGTCTGGACTTAACATAATTCCCATGATTTAGAAGAAACATGGCGAAGACAAGATACGGTGGCCAAATTGATTGCAGATATGTTTAGAGATACTGCTCTTTAAAGGACCACTATAGGCACCCAGACCACTTCAGCTTAATGAAGTGGTCTGGGTGCCAGGTCCAGCTAGGGTTAACCCTTTTTTTTTATAAACATAGCAGTTTCAGAGAAACTGCTATGTTTATAAATAGGTTAATCCAGCCTCTAAAGCCTATAGTGGCTGTCTCATTGACAGTCGCTAGAGGCGTTTGCGTGCTTCTCACTGTGAAAATCACAGTGAGAAGAGGCCAGCGTCCATAGAAAAGCATTATGAATGCTTTCCTATGAGACTGGCTGAATGCGCGCGCAGCTCCTGCCGCGCATGCGCATTCAGCCAAAGAGGAGGAGAGAAGGCGGAGAGGAGGAGGCGAGCTCCCCGCCCGGCGCTGGAGAAAGAGGTGAGTTTAACCCCTTCCTCCCCCCAGAGCCCGGCGGGAGGGGGTCCCTGAGGGTGGGGGCACCCTCAGGGTACTATAGTGCCAGGAAAACGAGTATGTTTTCCTGGCACTATTGTGGTCCTTTAGTGGTCCTATAGTGGTCCTTTAAGATTAATTTCTCTCTTAGTCACATTTTATTATCTATTTTATCTCTGATATTTACTACTACTACTACTATTCCACCTTGTTTGGTGGCTGTCATCCTTGCTGCCATGTTGTGTATTTGTACCCCAATTCATCTAGACTGTAAGCTCGTTTGAGCAGAGTTTTCATCTACCTAATGTTCCTGTGTCACTATGTAATTGTCTCATGTATTGTAAATTTCCCCCCCTTTCATAATATTGTAAAGCGCTGTTGAATTAGTTGGCGCTATATAAATACCAATAATAATAAAAATAATAATAATTAGTAATATATATTCTTTTCAGTTTAGGACTATACAGTCGTCCTACCACCTGTGGGCGCTCTTTATATTTTTTTTAGTGTGATCCATGTATGGAACGCATGATGCATTCCAATTGCTATATGCACACATGGAAATTCTAATTTAAGGCTTCTTTAGAGTTTAATTGTGTACTGAATATTTACTGCACACCCACTGCTTTGTTTTTTTCCTCACAGGGGTTGCAGACATCCTTCGGGCAGTTGCGAACATGTGCGAACCAATTGGTGGCACCGTCTTGGCGCTGCTGCGCTTGGAACGCATTTTGCATTACACGCACTTACGTCACAATATTGGAACTTCCCGGGCGCATGCGAGTCTCGCCATGGCATCATTCTCTGCATCCGCCGGATGGCGGTGGCATCCTGGGTCATGGGACTCTCTCTGGTTTACAGTGGAACACACGTGCATTCCACTAGATATATTTATAATCCGTTTGGTCCAAAACTAGTTATGTATTCTATTATTATAAGTCCTATGTTGTGCAAATTGTATATTATCTTTATCTCTTGTTGCTTTGGATCTTTTATTTCTATGACCATCTCAAATGATATGTGCATATACAAGTACCAAGGTAGAAACCACTATAGGGCACTGGACCTAAACAATCTATAAGCTACATATAGGCTTACTTAACGTCTGATTGGCCATGTCACCTCTGTGACTCCAAAAAGTATGAGAATGGGGTCGACTAGGTGACAATGGACACTTTAGAATTGCATTTGATGTTTTGCAAATGCGTTAAATATAAGAAATGACCATTCGAGTGGGATGCATGGCCAAACAATGCATTCGGTCTGTGCGACCTGTGAAGAGAAGTGATATGATGTCACCGAACAAGTAAGTCTATTAACAGTATCTTCTGAATGTTTAGGAAAAGGCAGGCTGCGTGGCTGAGCAATACATTTGGCCAATGCAACCTGTGAAGACGAGAAATTAAATGGTACAAGTAAGTAACGTGACAATTTCATATTGTTTCTTTCAATGTTCTTGACTATATGGTTTTATATATTTTTATTTTGTTCCTTTTTGATGTTATGGCTTGGGGCACTCTGGCCTACTATTTGTGGTAGGTTCCATAGGATGTGTCTTTATGCCTCTCTGTATTTATAACCAGTATTTGATAGTTTGTAATACCTATATGTAAACACCTAGTATTTACTGGAAGATTATTCAGAAATGTTAGTAGGATTCATCTTGGTGTTATTTGGATTTTATAACTATTTAACATTATAATTAATCTTCCATCATTAGAGTAGTTGGTTTGCGTCCTAACAAGATATCATTTAAGTAGATGATCAAGCGCACGCCCCAACTGGGTAACCAGGCCATGGCCAGTCACAGCAGTTTTGTGAAGCACCGTGGTGCAGAGGAGAGCCCAAAATGAAGACCTGTAAAGTGCCAAGTGTTGTGCTTCCAAAGGACACTCTGAATCGGCAAAACTTGGCTACTGGGACCGTCAAGTACGTGTCCTTCAGATCCAGTTTTGCCATCAAATTGTCATGTAGGAGCAGGTCCCGCAGAAAGTGAGTGCCTTCCATCTTGAAATGGCGGTAGTGCACCAAGGCATTGAGGGGATGCAGGTTGATAACGGGGTGCATCTGAGCGCTTTCTTTTCCACCAAGAAAATGTTGCAGAGGACCCCAGCATGGGTCGCGCATGCCATTTCTATCGCCCCTTTCCCATGAAGGGCTGACAATTCTTTCTCTATCTAAAATCGCTATCTCGTAGGGAGAATGAGATCAGGCGAGGTAGAGGAATGTGGCAAGGAGTACCAAACAACTCTATGTGGAAACCCTAAACGGTGCCTAGGAACCAAGCATCGGAGGTGATGGTTGACCAGGCTGGGAAAAAATGACGGAGTCTGCCCCCTACACAAACATGAGAAGAAACATGAGGCAGATTTAAGCTTACCGTAAGGGTGTCTGGAGCTTGAGTTTCCTCTGAAGCCTCTTGATCACCATGGCGTTCCTCTTGATAGGGGGTCGCTGGATATAGGAGCCTCGTCCTGAGCCACGGCAACTGGAGTAGTTACGGCCGGGCAGACGACCCCTGAAACTGCCTGTCCTGGTAGAGATCTGCCCCTGAAAAACCCTTTTCACGGAGGACTGGGCAAGATCAAGGGTGGTAAATGCCCCTACAAAACACCAAAGGTCTTTTATAAAAGAGTCGCCAAACTAGCTACACCAGAGAGGAAGAGAGAGGGGAGCTCACCTGGGCCCAGACCAGCAGACAGGGAGACACGAGACAAAAACAGAGCCAGGAAGGATGGGTAGTAACATAAAATGGCTGCCAATCTCTCGAGACAGGCAGCAAAAACCTGTGAACATGTCCAGTTTGCAAACTGAAATTCCGTGAACGGTACGAATTCGTGGGAACACTACCAAAATGTCCAAATACGCGGCATAACTGCCGAACTCTACAATTCACTGCAAAACTGCCGAACAATACAATTTGTGGCAAAACTGCAGAACAGTACAATTCGCGGCCTAAGACTCCCGAACAGCACAAAGTCAAAAACACAGAAAGGCACAAGTTTGCAGTGAAAAAAGCTGAGCAAGAGTGCAGAAATGGGTGCAAAAAGGTCGCCAAACAGTAAGTGGCTGGAGTTGGGGGGGGGGTAGGTGAAAGGGTTCAGAAAATAAAAAGAAACAGGGGAAACAAAACCCAAGTGATCCACTAGAAGACAGGAGCAATGAGGCAAAGCCAGAACAGAGGGGAAAAGCATGCAAAAGGAGAAGCAAGAGACCCCTCCAGAGGATTTATTTAGTTTTTCTTGAATCCTCTCTGGGGTTTAAATGGCCATTGAGAGCCTACCAGATGCAAAATCTATATAAACCCATAAACCCTACCAATAGGGATGGATGCATATTCAAGCAATGAATGGAAGACTGCAACTGTCTAGGTTTAGTAAATCATCAAAACATTTTATACCCACTTGAATACATGGAGCAATATTAAAATCCAGAATCATAAGGGGAAGTGTCCCTATTGAGGATGGACAGAATATTTGGTGTTGGGATAAAAGGAAGAGGCAAACTGAATCCCAAGTAGTCACCATTGCTTTAGTGGTGGGGAGCATTACCGGACACCCAGGCAATTATTGAGGAGAAGTCCAACAATATGCAGGCAGTGATGGGCCATGTAATCATTGTTCTTCAAAAAATACTCATTGCGGATAAGGTGACTGGACCCTCATCGATATAAGAGGGGCAACTATTGCCTCTTTATAATACAATTAGGTGCTTGAAAGGTTTATACCTCTGTCTCCCCCATTCTCCCTAACTACAACAAATATTTGCCTTGCCACGCTCGCAATATGGATCTGATAGAGTTCCAAGTTGCAAATTAGTTAGATTTTTACAGGTTAGTTGGATCCCTAGCCATCTGTAACCCCAAATAAGTGAAAGGTGATTTCAAAATATGGACTAGGTTGTCAGGAGGTTTTACACACTTGACCTTGGTTTTGCTTTGATTTAGTTTATAACAGGATACGCTACTTTATTCAAGGTGATTTCAAAATATGGACTAGGTTGTCAGGAGGTTTTACACACTTGACCTTGGTTTTGCTTTGATTTAGTTTATAACAGGATACACTACTGTATTCAGCCAATGGGCTTAAGAGTTTGTTTAACCAAACCTTGTTAACAGGAGTAGTCCCAGAAGATTGGAAGTTAGTGAATGTTTTGCCCATTCACAAGAAAGGTAGTAGGAAGGAGTCTGGCAACTATAGGCCAGTAAGCCTTACTTCAGTGGTGGGGAAAGTAATGGAAACCATGTTAAAGGATAGGATTGTTGAACATCTAAAAATCACATGGATTTTAATAACAGGACTAAAAGAAATTGTGTCTCAATTTCCAAAGGCTGAACTGCATACATAATATATTTACACCTCAACAGTACCCCCCTCCTTCTCTGTTTTTTTCTTTGCTATCTTTTAGTTACCAAACCAAAGAGGAACTATTACAAGCACTTGTGGACTATGATATGCAACAAGCAGTGCAAAATGATGCCTTAAACACTGCAGAGGAGATACCTGTAGCTTTTGTCCGTGATGTACCGAGATCTGGAGATCCTTTATATTGTTACTTACAAACTGTGTTAATATATGTGGACTCAGCAGACACAAACCAAAGATTACAGCTTATCCTTCAATATCATTAGGCTGAGAGACAGCGCCAAGCTGAGAGAGCGCACCAGGCTGAGAGGGAGGCTGTTGAGCGCCAAGCTGAGAGGGAGAGAGAGGCTGCAGAGCACCAAGCTGAGAGGGAGAGAGAGGCTGAGGAGTGCCAAGCTGAGAGAGAAGCTGCTAAGAGAGAGAGAGAGGCTGCAGAGCGGCAGGTTGAGTGAGTGGCCACGGAGCGCCAAGCTGCCTGAGAGCATGAACTAAAAATGGTTGACTGGAAAGGTTGACAGCCTCCCCTATAAGTATTAATTCCACAGACTCTTCTGCACCCAAACCACATGCAGAGAATTTTTCAGCTCTGGATAAAAATGGTGATTTGGATGTTTTCCTGCGCAGTTTCAAAAAAATTTGCATGCAGTACCAGCTACCAAAGGACCTTAATGATATAATTAAGGCTGCCTTGCAAGAACGGTACAACCTTACTCCTGAGGTGTACCGAAAGAAATTCAGGACTTGGCAAAAGTGTTCCACAGAAAGTTATGCATCAGTTGTGTGGCACCTGGCGACAGCATTCCGACAGTGGACTACTGGGCTGGAGATTACCACTTTGGAAAGTTTGCCCAACAGACAGATCCTACTTTAGAGGTATTGAGGGAACGTGCTAGGCAGCCACTCACGAACAGGGATAGAGAGAGATTGTACTGGGATAACGAGAGGTTATCCCCACTGAGCCCTGAGTAACAGAATAGCAGCTGGTGGTGCCCCAGAAGTACTGGGACCAGCTGCTGAAGATGGCTCACGCCATCCCCATGGCTGGGCACCTGGGGGTCGTGCGGACTAAGTCTCGCTTCTCCCACCATTTTTATTGGCCGGGTATGGGCACGGATGTGGCAAATTATTGCTGTTCCTGCTGCTGAAGATGGCTCACGCCATCCCCATGGCTGGGCAAATTATTGCCATTCCAGCTGCTGAAGATGGCACACGCCATCCCGATGGCTGGGCACCTGGGAGTCGCGCGGACTAAGTCTCGCTTCTCCCACCATTTTTATTGGCCGGGTATGGGCACGGATGTGGCAAATTATTGCCGTTCCTTGTGGATCTACTGGCTGCAACCCGGGATCTAGAGGGCATTGAGGTAGCCCAGGTTAATACCCACCTAACAGAGGGACAGAGGAGTCAGCTATCTGAGACCTTACCATAGTTTCTTCACAGGGAAGCCTGGCAGGACACACATATTAACCCATAACGTGGACACTGGGGATCACGATCCCCTCAGACAGGCTGCCTATAGAGGATCCTTGGAGGTGAAGGCAGACATTAGGAGGGAAATAGAGGAAATGCGGGAGCTGGGTGTAATCCGGAAATCTCACAGCCCCTGGGCCTCCCCAGTGGCGCAGGTCCCCAAGAAGAACAAGACCACCAGGTTCTGTGTGGACTACCGGCGTTTCAACCTGGTAACTGCATTTGATGCATATCCTATGCCACGCATTGATGCATTGCTAGACCAACTAGCTGGAGCTAAGTTCCTTAGTATTATGGATCTCAGCCAAGGGTACTGGCAGATCACAAGGGTACTGGCAGATCACATTAGCCCAGTAAGGGTATTTATCCAATGATTTGGAGGTGTGTTAGTGTACTTGCTTGGGGCCAAGATCTAATTTTGAGTGAGTGACCATCATCCTTCCTTGCCAGATACCCCCTGGGCAGAAGTTGTACTTTGAAAACTTAAGTGAGTAATTAGGACGTCTGTATTTTATCCTTTTTGTTTTTATCTGTTATTGGTGAAAATTATTTATCATATATTTTTGTATACACTGTGACTATTTTTGCTCATAATAAACATTCATTTATTAAGTACTGCCTTTGTCTGGTTAAGAATCACGTTAGCTGAGGAGACTAATTAGTATTTTTGCAATTCCTTAAATATTGTGCTAAGTAATATTTGGTGGGTTTTATTATTGATTTACCTGGGGGACCAAGGCACCCCTTTTATAAATTGTCTTGGTGGTGGTATCGTTAAAATAGTAATAGTTATATTATTATGTTTAAATGTGGGTGGTGTTAAAAGGGGGATTTTGTATAATGGCCTGGCCTGCCCCACAGACCAAAAAGCAGGTGATGTCATTCCTGGGTACTGCAAGGTACTATAGGAAATTTGTACCACATTCTAGTACCCTGGCCAAACCCCTAACTGATCTCACTAAGAAAGCACTCCCACGAGTGGACACATGAGTGTGAAGTGGCCTAAAACAGGCCCTTAATGATTCTCCCATACTACAGGTCCCTAATTTCCACAGACGGTTCTTAGTACAGACCGATGCCTCTAATTATAGCCTGGAAGCGGTGCTGAGTCAGGTGGATTAGCATCCTATTGTGTATCTCAGCCGGAAGCTGCTACCTAGAGAAAGAGAGTTTGTCCATAGTTTGGGCCTTGCAAAAACTGCAACCGTACCTGTATTGGTGGCAGTTTACCGTGATTACCGATCACAACCCGCCACATTGGTTACACAGGGTGGCTTGGACAAATGGGAAACTCCTCAGGTGGAGTCTAGTTCTCCAGCAATATGAGTTTACAATACAGCACAAGAAGGGATGAACACATGGCAACGGGGATGGTTTGTCCTACCAGTGGGAAGACTCCACCTAATACGCAAGGTTGAGGCATAACGCCTTCTCGCGTTACATCTCTTATTTGGGGGCGGTGTCATGGCAAGGGTGCATAATTTATTATTACACTATGGAATATTGTCCTTTAATGCAATTTGTGTAGTGCATTAAAGACCTGCCTGCCTGGCAGTGATGGTATTGTCAGTGTCAAAAGGGGTTAATCTGATTGTATGGAGGTCAACAGGGGTTACATCTTTTGAAGCTGGAACCCCCACAGAGGTCAGATTACAGAAGGGGTGATATGAATGGCATAGCAATGTGAGAAGAATTTTACCATATGGATATGAATTAATCAAGGCTCTGCAAGGTATAAGATTTTACACTTTTAAAAGCCTGAATGTCTAGCTGGTTTCAGCCATTTGGCTGTACCTTTTAATTGAGGAGTTGATTTCTCTGTGATATGCTAATGACCATTTGCCTTGTTCCAGGATCATATGCAAAGGAAGGAAAAAACATTCATATTTACCCCACAGAATAATAATTAAGCCTCATTTTTGTTATATTTGGAATGTGACAAACACCATCTTCTAAACAGCCCAAACATGAGTGGCCTAACTTGACCATAGGGGAAGGAATTGTGATGTCAATCATATTGGATCACAAGGCCGGCATGCAACATATGTATAGAATGGGAAAATAATAACAAATTCATAGAGGCAATTATTATTTCTGTGGCAGGTACATAAGAGAAGACAGAGCCAAATGTTTCCATTTGGATTGACACTAGTCTGGAACAAAGGAGGTGGTCACTTATTATTTCTGTGGGTACGCCTTAACTCCATCCCTGGGAAAGACTTGATAATCCACAGGGTATTTATCCAATGATTTGGAGGTGTGTTAGTGTACTTGCTTGGGGCCAAGATCTAATTTTGAGTGAGTGACCATCATCCTTCCTTGCCAGATACCCCCTGGGCAGAAGTTGTACTTTGAAAACTTAAGTGAGTAATTAGGACGTCTGTATTTTATCCTTTTTGTTTTTATCTGTTATTGGTGAAAATTATTTATCATATATTTTTGTATACACTGTGACTATTTTTGCTCATAATAAACATTCATTTATTAAGTACTGCCTTTGTCTGGTTAAGAATCACGTTAGCTGAGGAGACTAATTAGTATTTTTGCAATTCCTTAAATATTGTGCTAAGTAATATTTGGTGGGTTTTATTATTGATTTACCTGGGGGACCAAGGCACCCCTTTTATAAATTGTCTTGGTGGTGGTATCGTTAAAATAGTAATAGTTATATTATTATGTTTAAATGTGGGTGGTGTTAAAAGGGGGATTTTGTCATAATTTCCGGTCTAGTGCAGACAAATAGTGAACTTTAACCCTTTCACCACAACAACTACTTCACGCACACTCTTGGAGTTCGTGACAACAGCCTCATATGTGTGCAGGGAGAGGTGAGGTAGAGTATTTTACACACCTTGATCCTGTATGCCACTGTTGCAGGCTGGAGCAGGGTTTTCTGGGGGCCTTAGGTCTGCTGGGCTTGCTCTGAGCTCCCCTGTGCAGGCTGATTGATGTGGGCATCCTGGGAACTGAGGGAGGGGCCCTGCAGACAGGATAGGAGGCAGCTCTGCCAGAACTCCGCCCAGGAAGAAGTGAGAGGAAGTCAATGAGTTCAAGGTATGCTAGCTGTGCCTTCGTGGCACACACAAACAATAAAGACTGTCATGTTACATGATATTGTTTTATTATAATGTACTGTTTCTTTAATGTTCATCTTAAGGTTGTCCCTTGGGCCACTCCAAGTTTGCATGCTGCTCCAGGTACTCCCCTCCCCTTTTTTCTGTTCTAGTGTATTCTGTGCTGTACATTCATATGTGACTTGTTTCTCTGCTATCCTGTATGGAAGAATTGTTCTTTTACCTGTCGTAACTGCACATTCTACAGATCATATGACGAATAAACACCGCCAGATCTTCTTACATGTGAGTTGTGACTGAGTAAACTATCTGGGAAGGTGATTTGGTATGGATAATCTCATCAGGGCAATGAGCGCCATATGCTCCTGAAAAACACATTCATAGCCTCTGCAGCCGGTCCAGAATAATAAAAGAACATATCCAGCAGCTTGTTCAGAGATTGCTGTGTCACAGGACAGATCATAGCGAAGTGTAACTGTGTGTATTGTATGAGAAGTCTGCATTCAACCCCAGCACAGCTTGTTACAGCCCCACACAGTATACAGACACACTTCACTGCTACAGCCAGGCCTGTATACCTCAGGCCATCATGAGTGGAAAGGGCTCAGTATGTGAAACACCACAGGATGCACCACATGGAGAAAGCCAGGATGAGGACCCAGAGCCCAGTGCATTAGCTAAACGCTCTGTGAAACCCACATGGAAGGTTAAAGAGAACTATGAATCCATGAAAACTGAACTAGCAACCAGTTTGAAGCAGATTTGGGATAAAATCCTCACCTACATTGATGTGATTTCATGTCCCAGCCATGAGGTACTGCAACTAGAGGGCGCCATAAAACATCTCTCTGCTTCAGATGAACTGTACCAGACTACAAGCAATAAATATATAACTATTCTGCAAAACATTAACACTGAGGAATCATTAGAGCAACTTAACAATGTCCAGCTTCTTAACATGGAAAGAGAAAGCTTTATCCTGCTAACTAAAGCAAAGGCAGAAGCAAAATTAACGCAGCCACAGGACACTGTATCTCACAGATCCGTATCCACCAGACATTCTAAAAGTTCCTCTAGATCCTGAAGTTCAAGGCACTCAACGCTTAGTGAACAGCTTATAAATGCCCGTGCCGAAGCAGAGGCTAGCAAAGTACTGGCTGCATATGCTAAAAAGAGAGCAGACATGGAGGCTGAGGCTGCAGCAATGCAAGCCGAGGCTGCAGCAATGCAAGCCGAAGCGGCAGCAATGCAAGCCGAAGCGGCAGCAATGGAAGCCGAGGCAGCATCTAAAGCAGCCGTCAAAGGGCAGCAATTGAAGCTTTAAAGGAACAGAGCAACTACGAGGCAGCAGAAGCAAGACTAAAGATTTTGGAACAAGCTATCGGTGCGGATGAAAATGTTAGTGAAAGGGTCAGCGTCAAGGCAGATGTGGAAGATCCATTCGAACGCACTAAGAACTATGTTCTAAACCACAGCACCGAGCACTCAATTGCCTCCATTCTGCACGACAACGCAAGGACTTCACCACACCACCAGGCAAAAGCTGTTCCAGCAACTTCCTACATGCAAAACCACCCCAGTGCAGCGCCTGACTGTCATGCTGATTCTGCATATGTCACAGAATTGCACGCCAATCTGCAAGCAAGTCACCAACCTCCTGCTAATTGTACTGTTCCAGACTTTAACCCAACAACTCAGCTGAACCCCCTTGTTGCACCATATCTTCCGAAGTCTTTTCACAACAATACCATAAACAACGCAATCCGCAACATTCAGCCGAGTTCGTAAAGTATATACTTCGACGAGAGCTCACCAAGTCAGGCCTAGTAAGCTTCGATGACCATCCCGAAAATTACAGAAGCTGGAAAGCTGCCTTTAAAACTACTATAGGTGATCTTGGTATTACTGCTGCTGAGGAGCTGGATCTGCTGATCAGGTGGCTTGGCCCACAATCTACAGAACGTGTCAAGAGCCTCAGGTCAGTCTACATCGACAATCCAACTGCAGGTCTCACCACTGCATGGGAGCGTCTAGAACAGAGTTATGGTAGTCCTGAAGCCAAAGAGAATGCATTGCTCAAACGATTGGAAAATTTCCCAACGATATACGGTAAGGACAATAAAGAGTTCCAGAGACTCAGTGACCTTCTTCTCGAAGTCCAGCTTGCCAAAACTGACCCCAAACTACCGGGCCTCAGTTACCTGAACACTGCTCGAGGAGTTAACCCTATCATTTACAAGCTTTCGTATGGCCTACGAGAAAAGTGGATCCAAATTGGGTCAATTTACAAACAGGAAACCAAGGTTTCATTTCCCCCTTTCTCCTACTTCTGCGAATTTGTCAGGAACATTGCTGACACCAAGAACGATCGTGGTTTTGCATTTGGTGAGTTCAGTACTACCCCACTGAAAGGTGACAAGCTACATATCAGCTACAGGAACCATAGAGGTCCCGTGTCTGTTAAGAAGACAGACATTATTCCCGCTCCCACCTCAGCTCCCGCCTCAAACAAGAGCGGCAAGATCGAAAACCCAAACTGATTATGTCCTATCCACAAGAAGCCACATCCCCTCAAAAAATGTAACGGCTTTAGGAAGAAGCCCCTACAAGAACGAAAGGAACTCCTAAAGACCTTTGGGGTATGTTATAGGTGCTGTGCTTCCACTGATCACTTTGCCAAGGAATGCAAAATCCCTATCCAGTGCATAGAGTGCGGTTCTGAGGACCACGTGCAAGCTCTCCATCCACTTGAGTCCAATCCTTCACTACTTGCAAACCTTTCTCCCAGGCCAAATCATGACGGGAAAATTACAGATCAGGTGGCTAATCCCACCATGATATTTTCTTCATGCACGGAAGTGTGTGGGGAAGACCACCGTGACAAGTCTTGTGCTAAAATATGCCTAGTGAATGTTCACCACAAGGATCAACCAGAAAAGACTTTAAAGGTGTATGCTATCTTAGATGATCAAAGCAATCGACAACTTGCCAGATCCGAACTGTTTGATCTATTTTGCATAAGAGGAGAGGTTCATCCTTACACCTTAGGCACTTGTAGCGGCACTACAGAGGTCTTTGGAAGAAGGGCACATGGATTTATTGTGTCCTCTCTAGGAGATAACTTACAATTACCCTTACCTACACTTGTAGAGTGTAACCAGATACCAGCCAACAAAGAAGAAATACCTACACCAGAAGTTGCCTTTTTCCACCCTCACCTAAAGTCAATAGCAAGTGAAATCCCACCACTTGACAAAGATGCTAAAATCCTTCTTCTGCTGGGAAGAGATATTCTAAGGGTCCACAAGGTGCACAGGCAGGTCAGCAGACCCCCAGATGCTCCATTTGCCCAGTACCTGGACTTAGGCTGGGTCATCATAGGTAATGTCTGTATAGGCAAAATGAAAAGGCCTACTAAGATTTCTTCATTCAAGACAAACGTATTGCCGAATGGTCGTAATACTCACTTTGAGCCATGCCCACATCACTACTGGGTAAAGGAGAAGGTAACTAGCTGCAAGTTGCAACATGACAACACAAACCTTTCCCGCACATACGATGACAGGTTTGGCTCTACAGTTTTCAATACAAGCAGTGAAGACAACATGTTAGCTCCTTCAGTAGAAGACAAAGAATTCCTTAAAGTAATGGACAACGAGTTCTTTCAGGATGATTCCAACAGTTTGGTAGCACCCCTACCCTTTCGCCTCCCGAGAGAGAAGCTACCGAACAATCTACATCAAGCCATTAAAAGATTCTCCTCCTTAAAGCGTACTTTAAGCAGGAAACCAGAGATGGAAAGACATTTTGTAGACTTTATCCAGAATATCTTTGATAGAGGTCATGCTGAACCCGCATATCCACTGAAAGAAGGAGAAGAGTGCTGGTACCGCCCTTCCTTCGGTGTGTATCACCCACGAAAGCCAGACCAAATCAGAGTTGTCTTTGACTCCAGTGCCCAACATGAAGGCATCTCACTTAACAACATGCTCCTCACAGGGCCCAACTTGAACAACAGCCTGATTGGAGTCCTAATTCGTTTTAGACAAGAACCTGTTGCAGTGATGGCGGACATTCAACAAATGTTCCACTGCTTCATCGTCAAGGAAGACAACAGAAACTACCTCAGGTTCCTATGGCACAAGGACAATGACTTCAACAGAGAGTTAATTGATTACCGAATGAGGGTGCATGTCTTTGGGAACAGCCCAGCTTGGAGAAGCTGAGTATGGATCCGACGCTCGTCAATTTGTCGAAAGAAACTTTTACGTAGACGACGGGCTCAAATCCTTTCCTACTGAATTGATCTTCTCACCCGAACAAAGGAGATGCTATCCGTAGCAAACTTGAGACTCCACAAGATTATATCCAACAGCCAAGAGCTAATGAATGCATTTCACTCTGAGGACTATGCTGCCAGCGTGAAAGACTTTGACACGCCTCCTTTGCAGAGAAGTTTAGGTCTGCTGTGGAACATCAAAGAAGACACATTCACCTTTCAAGTGTCAACCTGTGACAAACCTTTTACCAAGAGAGGAGTCTTATCCATGGTGAATAGCATCTACGACCCACTGGGATTTATAGCCCCAGTCACCACCCAAGGTAAGATGCTTCTAAGACAGCTTACTACTGATAACATAGATTGGGACACTCCGTTACCCATGGAGAAACAACAAAGATGGGAGAAATGGAGAGGTTCTCTGAAGCCACTAGAACAGCTCCAAATTCCACGTTGCAATGCCCCAGTCTCCATTTCAGCCACTAAACAGAGGGAAATCCATATTTTCTCAGACGCATCAGTTGAAGCTATAGCTGCAGTGGCCTATTTGAAGACCTCAGGGATCAATGGAGACATACATTGCAATTTTGTTCTAGGCAAGGCAAAGCTAACACCAAAACCTGCACATACCATACCCAGGCTTGAACTTTGTGCAGCCGTGCTAGCCGTGGAAATAGCCGAAGTCATAAAGAGTGAAATGGACATTAAAATCGATTCCTTCACATTTTACACAGACAGTAAGATAGTGCTTGGATACATCTACAACCAAACCAAACAATTTTATGTGTACGTCAGTAATTGAGTAGAATGTATCAGAAGGTTCTCTCTGCCAAAGCAATGGCATTATATTCCCACGGACCTTAATCCTGCTGATTATGGGACAAGACCTATATCCCCAGCAGCTCTCCATGGCTGCTTGTGGCTGACGCCTCCAAGGTTTCTTCACGAAAACTCCTACTCAATTTCCACTGACGTTACCTAAGAATTGGTACTTCTTCTCCCAAGTGAGTGACTTATGCTAGAGTACCAGACCGTACGGTACTATGGCGGGGAGAACGCCGCTATAAATGTTAACTATGCCACTGTTGAAGCTTCACGGCTATAAACTGCAGACTATAGGACTTTAGCCATCTGTTATTGGACTTCATGTTTTATTGTTCATTTACTGCATACCTTCTTTGTTTTGCAGGTATCTCGTATTTATGGTCTACACACCAGTATTATTTCCAATGTTTTCTTCACTTACAGGTTCAAGTTGGACCTTTAGACATTTGGACTTATCTTTATATACATATATATATATATATAGACTTTGAAATCTAAAGATTTCAGGCGGGGAGTGTCATGTTACATGATATTGTTTTATTATAATGTACGGTTTCTTTAATGTTCATCTTAAGTTTGTCCCTTGGGCCACTCCATAGTTTGCATTCTGCTCCAGGTACTCCCCTCCCCTGTTTTCTGTTCTAGTGTATTCTATGCTGTACATTCATATGTGACTTGTTTCTCTGCTATCCTGTATGGAAGAATTGTTCTTTTACCTGTCGTAACTGCACATTCTACAGATCATATGACGAATAAACACCGCCAGATCTTCTTACATGTGAGTTGTGACTGAGTAAACTATCTGGGAAGGTGATTTGGTATGGATAATCTCATCAGGGCAATGAGCGCCATGTGCTCCTGAAAAACACATTCATAGCCTCTGCAGCCGGTCCAGAAAAAAGACAGCAGGATAATCCATCTGCACCCCACTTTGCCCCTTAGTGAGGTTACTCAGTGGTCGATCACTGAGGTAGGATAATTGCTATTTAGTATATTTACGAATTGGCAATATACTAAATAGCAGTTTTGCAAGGGAAGCCAGTCTTGTCAGTAGGGGTCGACAGAGGAGCCGGGACCCCTGTCACAGCTGCGAAAACCACAGTAGTTCTGCCACTGCGGTCAACAATGTCAAACAGTAAAGACGGTTCAGAAAATAAGCATTAACCAAAAATAAACAGAATTTATATAACAAATTAAAATCAAACTGCAACACTTTCTGGAGGAGTTGAAAATAAAAACAAATGTGTACACTGATATTCCCTTAGACTTGGTGTATGCCACAGAGTGTAACTGAATTACGTATAGTGCTTTTTTCAGAGAGGCCGTCGACTAGATTTAAAGTGGGTCTGCACATAGTAATCTCTGTTTGCAAAGGGTATTTAACCCCTTAACATTATATATAACAATCTTTGAATAAAAGGTAATTTACTAAGATTACTAGGGATTTTGGTAATAGGTGACCATCAGGTATAATTGCTGCAAAAAACATACATGACATATGGGCTTTATCAATAGTCTCTGGGACTCCCCATATGTGATTATTGTTCTGGTGGGAACAGTCTTCTATTATTTTATCTGTATTACTTGTAATTTGTGTTCCATAATCATGATCGCCTCCACAAGGATGTTATAGGCCTCTGCATACTCCCCAATTTTATTCTCCACTTGATCTGTTCTTTCTCCCAACTCCAAGATTTCCTTCTTTCAATCTGCCAAATTCGACTTAAACTTATGTATAAGGGCCGTAGAAAGTGTTTGCAGGAGGGAATACATCTTACTCTCTGAGATGGGGCCCTCTGAAGCAGTGGATTTGCCAGTGGGAGCCATGGCCCCCCTACATCATGCTGTGTCCCCCCTTAGGCCCCCCCCAAATGTTCTTACATTCTATCCCCTCGGACTGTAACAGTGTGTGAGTCTGTTACAGCCCAAGGGCTGGGTGCTGTTTGTGCAGAGATGCTGGGGCCGGAGAGAGCACTGACAGGCTCCCCGGCACAGGCCCAAATCAAGCCCCACCTCCCGCACATAAGCCCAGCCCCGTCGTAAAGCAGCAGATCTTGCAGCTGCAGAAGATGGCTGTCTGACCCCCAGCAACAGCCTCCAGTGACAGGTAGGCTTGATGTGTGTGTCTGTGTGTGTGTATGGACTCAGCAGTCTGTGTGTGTGTGTGTGTATGGACTCAGCAGTCTGTGTGTGTATGGACTCAGCAGTCTGTGTGTGTGTGTATGGACTCAGCAGTCTGTAGATGTGTGTGTATGGACTCAGCAGTCTGTGTCTGTCTGTGTGTGGACTCAGCAGTCTGTGTGAGTATGGACTCAGCAGTCTGTGTGTGTGTATGGACTCAGCAGTCTGTGGATGTGTGTGTATGGACTCAGTAGTCTGTGTGTGTGTGTGTGTGTGTATGGACTCAGCAGTCTGTGTGTGTGTGTATGGACTCAGCAGTCTGTGTCTGGACTCTGCAGTCTGTGGATGTGTGTGTATGGACTCAGCAGTCTCTCTCTGTGTGTGTATGGACTCAGCAGTCTGTGTGTGTGGACTCAGCAGTCTGTGTTTGTGTGTGTGGACTCAGCAGTCTGTGTGTGTGTATGGACTCAACAGTCTGTGTCTGTATGGACTCAGCAGTCTGTGTGTATGGACTCAGCAGTCTCTCTGTGTGTGTATGGACTCAGCAGTCTGTGTGTATGGACTCAGCAGTATGTGTGTGTGTCTGTATGGACTCAGCAGTCTGTGTGTGTGTCTATGTGTGTGTATGGACTCAGCAGTCTGTGTGTGTGTGTGTGTGTGGACTCAGCAGTCTGTGTCTGTGTGTGTGTGGACTCAGCAGTCTGTGTCTGTGTGTGTGTGGACTCAGCAGTCTGTGTGTGTATGGACTCAGCAGTCTGTGGATGTGTGTGTATGGACTCAGCAGTCTGTGGATGTGTGTGTATGGACTCAGCAGTCTGTGTGTGTATGGACTCAGCAGTCTGTGTGTGTGTGGACCTGTGCAGTCTGTGTCTGTGTGTGGACTCAGCAGTCTTTGTCTGTCTGTGTATGGACTCAGCAGTTGTCTGTCTGTGTAAGGACCCGCAACTGTTCGTGTGTGTGACTCAGCAGTCTTTGTCTGTCTGTGTATGGACCTCAGCAGTATGTGGGGTGGTGGGTATGATTCAGCAGTCTGTGTGGCTGGACTCAGCAGTCCAGGATGTGCGTGTATGGACTCAGCAGTCTGTGTGTGTGTCTATGTGTGCGTATGGACTCAGCAGTCTGTGTGTGTCTGTGTGTGTATGGACTCAGCAGTCCGTATCTGTCTCTGTGTGTGTGGACTCAGCAGTCTGTGTGTGTATGGACTCAGCAGCATGTATGTGTATGGACTCAGCAGCATGTATGTGTGTGTTTGGACTCAGCAGTCTATGTGTGTATGGACTCAGCAGTCTGTGTCTGTCTGTGTGTACTCAGCAGTCTGTGTGAGTATGGACTCAGCAGTGTGTGTGTGTGTGTGTGTGTATGTACTCAGCAGTCTGTGTGTGTGTGTGTGTGTATGGACTCAGCAGTCTGTGTGTATGTATGGACTCAGCAGTCTTTGTCTGTCTGTGTATGGACTCAGCAGTCTGTGTGTGTGTGTGGACTCAGCAATCTGTGTCTGTGTATGGGCTCAGCAGTCTGTGTGTGTGTGTGTGTGTGTGTGTGGACTCAGCAATCTGTGTCTGGACTCAGCAGTATGTGTGTGTATGGACTCAGCAGTATGTGGATGTGTGTGTATGGACTCAGCAGTATGTGTGTGTGTGGACTCAGCAGTCTGTGTGTGTGTATGGACTCAGCAGTCTGTGGATGTGTGTGTATGGCCTCAGCAGTCTGTGTGTGTCTGTCTGTGTGTGTGGACTCAGCAGTCTTTGTCTGTCTATGGACTCAGCAGTATGTGTGTGTATGGACTCAGCAGTTGTCTGTCTGTGTGTATCTATGGACTCAGCAGTATGTGCGTGTATGGACTCAGCAGTCTGTGTGTGTGTATGGACTCAGCAGTCTGTGGATGTGTGTGTATGGACTCTGCAGTCTGTGTGTGTATGGACTCAGCAGTATGTGTGTATGGACTCAGCAGTCTGTGTGTGTATGGACTCAGCAGTCTCTCTCTGTGTGTGTATGGACTCAGCAGTCTGTGTGTATGGACTCAGCAGTATGTGTGTGTCTGTATGGACTCAGCAGTCTGTGTGTGTGTGTCTATGTGTGTGTATGGACTCAGCAGTCCGTGTGTGTCTGGACTCAGCAGTCCGTGTCTGTCTGTGTGTGTGTGGACTCAGCAGTCTGTGTGTGTATGAACTCAGCAGTCTGTATGTGTATGAACTCAGCAGTCTGTGTGTGTGTATGGACTCAGCAGTCTATGTGTGTATGGACTCAGCAGTCTGTGTCTATCTGTGTGGACTCAGCAGTCTGTGTGTGTATGGACTCAGCAGTCTGTGTGTGTGTGTATGGATTCAGCAGTCTGTGTCTGTCTGTGGACTCAGCAGTCTGTGTGTGTATGGACTCAGCAGTCTGTGTGTGTGTATGGACTCAGCAGCCTGTGTGTATGGACTCAGCAGTCTGTGGATGTGTGTGTATGGACTCAGCAGTCTGTGGATGTGTGTTTATGGGCTCATCAGTCTGTGTGTGTGGACTCAGTAGTCTGTGTCTGTGTGTGTGGACTCAGCAGTCTGTGTTTGTGTGTGTGGACTCAGCAGTCTGTGTGTGTGTATGGACTCAGCAGTCTGTGTGTGTATGGACTCAGCGGTCTGTGTCTGTATGGACTCAGCAGTATGTGTGTATGGACTCAGCAGTCTGTGTGTGTGTATGGACTCAGCAGTCTGTGTGTATGGACACAGCAGTCTCTCTGTGTGTGTGTATGGACTCAGCAGTATGTGTGTGTGTCTGTATGGACTCAACAGTCTGTGTGTGTGTCTATGTGTGTGTATGGACTCAGCAGTCTGTGTGTGTCTGTGTGTGTATGGACTCAGCAGTCTATCAATAATTAAAACCACCCAACGTTTCGGCACAAATGGCCTTTGTCAAATGGCCTTTGTCACCCTTGACAAAGGCCATTTGTGCCGAAATGTTGGGTGGATTCTCTGTCGTCTTCCTGACTGACAAAGGTGAATATATTGTACAGCAATTCATGAATTAATTTTTTCTATCCTGAAAGATTCTTTTTCTAAATTGAAACATTTCTCAGAGTATTTTTTTGTTTTCTGGATTGGCTATGCACATATATACTATATGACAAGACTACTGCATATGGTTTATCTTGAATGTATATTAATTACTGGGATATAAGTTCTCTAATGATGTATATGTATTAACTTTGGATATTTTTATTGCTATTGTGAAATAAAATCTGATTTGCACCATATGTGGGTATTTCTTTAATATATTATTTTCAGATACAAGTCATGTTAAACATTCTACAACCTTTTATGTGTCACTTATATTAAATCAATAGGAAACATTGTTTAAAAAAATATATATATTTTTGCTAAATAATAAATTATTGTGAAATGGAAATCAAACTTGAACATTTTCCCCAATAGAGTCAGGAATATAAATGAGTTAAGAAATGTATTCAACTTGGTTACTTAGGAGTAAATTTTTCAAATCTGATTGTCAATTCATATCAGTGAACCGGATTACTCCAGAAGAACCTACGGCTGTCACCTACTATAGAAGAACCTACGGCTGTCATCAAGCACAGCTCCCTGGATACCAGCCTGTAACACTTGCATATTGTTTGTAATAAATATCATCAATATGGAACTGAAGTTTTGCCCAAAGTCAATGTCATGGTGAGATTTTGAACCACATTTGGGAGACTCTGTTGAAAAATTGAAAGCTTAGTTAATATACAAAGTGGAGTTGTTTGCTACCTTTTTGGCAGCAAGAATTGTCTGACAGTGAGAAAAACATTTAAATCATCATGCATGTTTGCTCATAACTATCGCACTTTGAAACTGAACATTGTCTGTACACCATTGTTACACTGAGGGGTTGAATTTCCAAAATGTTTCTTTTATTAACTTGGTTTTCAATAAATAATGGTAACTATGGATATAAAAAGCTTTGGGATGCTCTGAGTCTGCCAAGTAGGATGTCCAATGAAATGACTGAAAAGAGAAAATGATCCTGGTTCGCTGACAACTGAATAAACATAATCTAATTTAAATGGATCTAAGTGATGAGCATAACATTCACTAGCTTTTGACCTGTAACAGACCTGGCCTTATGTTAAAGAGTCTCTTGTTTTGCCAATTTGATGGGTACAGGCAGAAATAAATATGTTGGATATGGATGTATAAACATATTTAAAAACCTATTAAATGTGTACATTAATTAGTCCTGTGCAATTAGTATGACTGAATCATTTTGTCCAAAACAAAAACCCCACTTTGTTTGGGTAGTCTAATATTTTTCTATGTGATGGTTCAGCTTCTCACTATCTCCGAACACAATGAACATTTCATGATTGTCCTCTAATCAGCAATCATGTTTTTCCATGTTTTCTTTGTTTGGTGCCACAGAGAGAACATAGAATCATCATGAATCAAAAACATGCTTCTCCATTGTGCAAGTTATTGGTTCAGTTACACTTCTATATCGCTCTCAGAGTTACATAATTAGAAGGACACGCTGAGCATCCTAAATTTGGCCTAATCGTAATTCGGAAAAAAAATGAATTCACAAGTCTGATTTGTATTAGGTATACACACACTACACAGTAGTATACTTTGGATGCTGTCCCCCACCAAAAGCAAATTTTAAAATTTTACATTTTATATATATATATATATATATATATATATTCACTGAACAAAATTATAAACGCAACACTTTTGTTTTTGCCCCATTTTTCATGAGCTGAACTCAAAGATCTAAGACTTTTTCTATGTATATAAAAGGCCTATTTCTCTCAAATATTGTTCACAAATCTGTCTAAATCTGTGTTAGTGAACACTTCTCCCTTGCAGAGATAATCCATCCACCTCACAGGTGTGGCATATCAAGATGCTGATTAGACAGAATGATTATTGCAAAGGTGTGCCTTAGGCTGGCCACTATAAAAGGCCACTCTAAAATGTGCAGTTTTACTGTATTGGGAGGGTCCGGGGGGTCCGAAATTCAGTCAGTAGTGATGTCACGAACGCGAACATGCTATGTTCGCCAGGAACTATTCGCCAGCGAACCGTTCGGTGCATCACTATCAGTCAGTATCTGGTGTGACCACCATTTGCCTCAAGCAGTGCAACACATCTCCTTTGCATAGAGCTGATCAGGTTGTTGATTGTGGACTGTGGATCCACTCCTCTTCTATAACTGTGCGAAGTTGCTGGATATTGGCAGGACCAGGAACACGCTGTCATATACGCCGATCCAGAGCATCCCAAACATGCTCAGTGGGTGACATGTCTGGTGAGTATGCTGGCCATGCAGGAACTGGGATGTTTTCAGCTTCCATGAATTGTGTACAGATCCTCACAACATGGGGCCGTGCATTATCATGCTGCAACACAAGGTGATGGTCGTGGATGAATGGCACAACAATGGGCCTCAGGATCTCGTCACGGTATCTCTGTGCATTCAAAATGCCATTAATAAAATGCACCTGCCCATACCATAACCCAACTGCCATTAAGGGCCACTCGATCCACAACGTTGACATCAGCAAACTGCTCACCCACAGGACACCGTACACACTGTCTGTCATCTGCCCTGTACAGTGAAAACCGGGATTCATCCGTGAAGAGAACACCTCTTTAAGGTGCCAGACGCGATCGAATGTAAGCATTTGCCCACTCAACTTGGTTATGACAATGAACTGAAGTCAGGTTGAGACACCGATGAGGACGATGAGCATGCAGATGAGCTTCCCTGAGATGGTTTCTGACAGTTTGTGCAGAAATTCTTTGGTTATGCAAACCCATTGTTGTAGCAGCTGTCCGGTTGGCTTGTCTCAGACGATTTTGGAGGTGAAGATGCTGAATGTGGAGGTCCTGGGGTGGTGTGCTTACACGTGGACTGCGGCAGTGAGGCTGGTTGGATGTTCTGCCAAATTCTCTGAAACACCTTTGGAGACAACTTATGGTAAAGAAATGAACATTCAATTCAAGGGCAACAGCTCTGGTGGACATTCCTGCAGTCAGCATGCCAACTGCACGCTCCCCCAAAACCTGCAACATCTGCACATTTTAGAGTGGCCTCTTATTGTGGCCAGCCTAAGGCGCACCTTTGCAATAATCATGCTGTCTAATCAGCATCTTTATATGCCACACCTGTGAGGTGGGTGGATTGTCTCGGCAAAAGGAGAAGTGCTCACGAACACAGATTTGTGAACAATATTTGAGAGAAATAGGCCTTTTGTGTACAGAAAAAGTCTCAGATCTTTGAGTTCAGCTCATGAAAAATGGGGGCAAAAACTAAAGTGTTGCGTTTATAATTTTGATCAGTATATACAGTATATCAGTATATACATGCATGCACTCCCATATAGCTTGGCCCTTACCCCTTCTCAATATTCACATATTGCATGAGTGTGTATGTGAGCCTGTCGGAGTGTGTGTGTATGTGTGAGAGCCAGTCAGTGTGTATGTGCACGTTTAGGTACCTGCCCCCTCCCATCGCTTGAGGAAGGTGTTTTTTATTTTCCCACCCTCACTGCTCCAACACTGCCCACCTACCCTCACTGCCCCAACACTGCCCTCCCACCCTCACTGCCCACCTACATACACTGCCCTCCCACCCTCACTGCCCCAACACTGCCCTCCCACCCTCACTGCCCACCTACATACACTGCCCTCCCACCCTCACTGCCCTCCCACCCACACTGCCCCAACACTGCCCTCCCACCCCTCACTGCCCACCCACATACACTGCCCTGCCTCCCACACTGCGCTGTCCCAACACTGCCCTGCCCCAACACTGCCCTCCCACCCACACTGTCCTGCCTCCCACATACCCTCCCACCCACACTGTCCTGCCCCCCACATACCCTCCCACCCACACTGCCCTGCCCCCCACATACCCTGCCACCCACATGCCCTGCCCCAACATACTCTGCCCCGCCACCCACATACCCTGTCCCCACACTGCCCTGCCAGTCACATACCCTGCCGACCACATACACTGCACCCACGTTGCCCTGCCACCCACATACCCTGCCCACCACATACACTGCACCCACGTTGCCCTGCCAGTCACATTCCCTGCCCCCACACACACTGACCACCACATACACTGCCCCCCACACTGACGACCACCACATACACTGCCCCCCACACTGACCACCACATACACTGCCCCACACACTGATGACCACACTGACCACCACATACCCTTCCCCAGGGCCGTCTTTAATATTGATTGGACCCTGGGCAAAGCATTTGCTTGGGCCCCTGGAACCTGTCCCCCCTCACCAGGCGTGCAATCACGTCCTCCACCCTAACAAAGTGGCAGACCTAAAGTAGAGAGGTGCAAGAATTTTTTTGAGCCTCCCTATCGCACGGGTGATTAGAAGGTAGATCCCCATCTGTCGTGCAACTCCAGCAATGCACTGACAGCTGGGGCTCTTCCATTTACCCATGTTTGAAGGTTTGTATTTAGCACTAAGCTGTTGTGTGTTTGACTGTTAGCAGGTTTTTGTATGGAATATGTTTGTATGTGGTGTTGGCGTACGTGCAAGCATGTATTTATGTGTAGTGTTGGTTTTTGAATGCAGGGGTGTGTTTACATATAATTTTGGTTTGTAACTCAGACGTGTGTTTTGGAGTTTGAATGCCAGTGTGTATTTGTATGTGATGTTAGTGTGTGAATGCTGAGATGTATGCACATATACACACACACACATATATCGATATATATATATATATATAAATATATATATTTATGGCACACACAGACAGACATACTGGTACACAGACATACTGACACACACACAGTCAGACCTACTGACAGACAGGGACCTACTGACAGACACACACAGACATACTACACACACACAGACCTACTGACAGACACACATACACACACAGACCTACTGACAGACACACACACAGACCTACTGACAGACACACACACACACATAGACCTACTGACAGACACACAGACCTACTGACAGACACACACATAGACATACTGACACACACCCAGACAGACATACTGACACACACCTAGACAGACATACTGGCATACACCCAGACAGACATACTGGCATACACAGACACATACTGACACACACACACAGACATAGTGGCACACACAGACAGACATAGTGGCACACCCAGGTAGACATACTGGCACACAGACACACAGACATACTGGCACACAAACACACTGACATACTGGCACACAGACACACAGACATACTGGCACACAGACACACTGACATATTGGCACACAGACACACAGACATACTGGCACACAGACACACAGACATACTGGCACACAGACACACTGACATACTGGCACACAGACACACAGACCTACTGACACACATAGACCTACTGACAGACACACACACACAGACATACTGAAATACACCTATGCAAACTTTAAAGCCCCCCTCCAGTTTCCTACCTTCCCTGGGGTCAAGTGTGCTGGCTTGGGTGGTTGGGAGTTGGGGACTTGGTCTCTTTGCTCAGTCCGCCTCCTCACTGCGACCTGGCACAGGCTCCCTCCCGCGCGGCTCATCATCTCTGAGGGAGGAAGTGACTTGCGGACGTCACTTCCTCCCAGTGCTGCTGTAAAGCAAGGGGCCCGGTCGTGCTGTTAAAGGGTCACAGCACCCGACCGGGCCCCTGCTGAAACGTGCTCACCGGGTGGCCCTAAATGTATTGGCCACCCGGTGAGCCTCCTTAGAGTATGGGCCCCGGTGCAGCCGCAGTACCAGCACCGCGGGCCCATGGGGGGGGGGGGATTTTTCTTATGCAGGCTATGGGCGGCGGGGCAAATAGGGCAGCTGCTTTGGGCCCCCAAGGAGTAACTGGGCCCAGGGCAGCTGCCCCGTTTGCCCCGCGTTAAAGACGGCCCTGCCCTTCCCCATACACTGACCACCACATACACTGCTCCCCACACAGACGACCATACTGACCCCCACATACACTGCTCCATCACTGACCACCACATACACTGCCCCCACACTGACCACCACATACTTGCCCCCTATATAGCATTCCCCCACTTTGACCACCACGTACACTGCCCCCACACTAACCACAACATACACTGTCCCCCACACTAACCATCACACTGATCACCATAGACACTGTCCCCCACATTGACCACCACATACCTTGACCCCCACAATGACCACCACATACCCTGACCCCCACATACCCTGCCACCCACAGTGACCACCACATTCCCTGCCCCCCACACACTCTGCCCCAGTTTCTCACACAAAATACTTGCACGTAGCACATCCTGCTCCCCCCACACACTCTGTCTCCAGCTTACACACTGCCACCCACACGGTCACACACCCTGCCCTCCTACACTGTCATACACACTGCCCCCTCATGCTGTCACACACCCTGCCCTCAATACACTGTGTCCCACACACCTTGCCCTCCCACACTGTAACACACCCTGTTCCCCCACACTGTCACACACTGACCCCCACACTGTCGCCATCCTTCACACTGCTACCCCACACTGCCATCTTCCTCCTCACTGTCACCCACTCACACCCTGCCTTGAAAACTGTCACAATCCTCCACACTGCTCTCTCACCCTGTTACCCTTTCACACACTTACACCCCATATTGTCAGCCCCCAACACTATGTCACCAATACATACAGTCCCTCCCACACACTGCCCCTGCACACACTGTCACCCTTTCCAACACTGCCTCCCACACTCTTACCTACCCACTGTCACCCCCCACATGCTGTCATGCCCCCTTCACCCAGCCTTGCTCACATTAACCTCTCCTAATCTTGTCGCTCTCACCCCCTCCATCCATACCACAATTACCGGCCCTCACTCTTCTACACTCACCCTATCACCTTAATCCCCCTAATCATACCACACTCATCTTCTCTCATACTGTCACACTCACCCCAAATCCTGTCACACTCATCCTTTTTCACATTAACCCTTTCACTTGGGCCCAACCATGCCACACATAATCCTGTCCGACTCACTTTCCCTCGCCTTGTCACACTCCCTCCTCCAGCCGTGCAACACATAACCCATAACCCTGTCAAACTCATCCCCCTTCACCCTATCACATTAACTTCTCCTATCCTGTCACTCATCCTGCCTAGACATGCCACACTCATCCTGTCACTCTCACCTCCCCTTGCCTTGTCACACTTTCTCCTTAAACCGTGCCACACTCACCCCAACAGTGAATACAGAGACAAGCTCTCTGTATCCAGCGCTGCAAGCCTGTCATACATTATAAGTACAGCTCATTATACACACGATGCAACCCCTATATGTTTTTTTACTATGAGTGTTAGTGGGGGGCCTCTTGTTTGAGATTCGCCTAAGGCCTCATAAAGTCTAGAGCCGCCACTGATCTCCACTGATGCTTTGCCAGCATTTTTTCTCTACGAGCTCTATCGGAGTATTAGTCCACAACATCTGTATTGCTGGAGTTTGCCTATCCCTGGTACACGTTCTATCTATAATGCCACAAGATGACCTAAAACTACCTAGAACTGAGCATGGATCCAACAAAGGGCAGGCCATTTCACTTATTGTCTGTTTTCAGCATTCTCTTATGATCTGCTTTAGTTTGTCTTTAAATTGCCAAGAATCCCCCAGCAGAAACTAAAATATGGAACCCTTGAAAACTGTGCCGATGGCAGTATTTGCTATGCTTAACTGAGAAGGCTCACCAAGGCCAAGATCATTGTCATCTGTGCTTGCTCTATCTCCTAAGCAGAGAGAGCCTGCTAGCACTCAAATGAGACCTCAACTGACCTTTAGTTGGTTAGTTTAGTTACATTGTGTCACGGTTCTCGCCGCGACATCCAGTCTGCTAGACGAGGTCACCCCAGGAGTGCCCAGCAGAGGATTTGAACCATGGTACTTTGCAGTCCTGGGGCTGCTATTTTGCCTCCGAGCCACCATACAGCTCAAGATATAGCCAAAAGTCTATCTTGCCTTGTATCCAGCACTGGGGGCTGGACATTATCTGAGACTGCTCCTGTCAATCATGGTTCACCTGTGGCTGATCACTGATTAGCCAGATTTAAAACACTGCCTCTCCCAGAAGACAGTGTCAGTTCATTGACTCTGGTTCTAGTATTGCTGTTTCGTGTTCCAGTGTTCTCCTGTTGATTCCTGACCTTGGCTTGTTATTTCGTGTACCCTGACTTCTGGCATCCTCTGACCTCTGCTCTCTACTCGTTTATCCTGATTTCTGGCACCCACTGACCTTTGGCTTACCAACGACGATTTTCCTGTTTATGTCCGTATCTGCACTGCGACTTGGAGCATCATCCTGCACAGTCCCCGTGCACCGACTCACAGGCCAGGTGAATTCTTACCTGACCACCTTGGCCTGTGTTTACTTGCAAGGGTGAGCACATATATCTGCGCTACAGACTCCAACTCAGGTAAGCCCTGACACATTGTTGGGTTCAGCTTGATATAAAAATGCTTTAGGTTCTATTTGTAATGGAACAAGCTAAAAATAAATAGTTTGGAGAGTGGTGGCGTGGCCAACAGCGAGCCGAACCAGACGTGCTTTACCAGAGCTCTCATGAGATAAATCCGAATTTATTAAATTGCTGGCAGTTATTCACTTACCTTTTACCACTACCCCACAGATGACAAGATGGGACGTAAGTACAAAAAATCCCATTTCCTAGATGGCTCTGGTATGCCAGATATCAGGCTCTCCTTCGAGAAGCCTGTGGAGCGACTACCACCCAAGGCACAAATCATGGCTGAGGCCTCTGAAGAATCTCAGGAAGACACAGATTCCATGGTCTCGAGTGGCACGGGGGGATATACAGAGAGACTGAGAGTCAGATGATGACTTTTTCCCTTCTACAAAAGGGGACATTAAGAAGCTGCTGCTGGAGCTGAGGCAGGCATGGAAAACAGATCTGCAGGAGACACAGGCTGACATAGGAGCAATGAATGCAAAGTTCAATGCAGTTTAAACAAGGGGAAAAAAACAGAGACAACCAGATGCAGGAGACTAAGTGTCAGGTGGAAGAGTTTAGCCACCAGGTTTAAAAGCAGTAGCTGTACTGGAGTCCAGACACAGAAGGCGCAACATCCATCTAAGAGGTATCCCCGGAAGAGTGGGAAGCGAGGAGCTACTGCCCTTCAACAGGAGACGGATTGCCTCACTGGGCCTTAAGGGGGTGAGAGACACCTCACTGGTTATGTCAGTATTCAGAGTAAGAAAGCGGCTGCAGCCTCGTCAGGGGCCTCCAGGGACGTCATCATGGTAACCAGAGATGTCACGGCACAATCTGTTATTATGGCCCACTCTAGAGCCTTAGGAACAGTACAATTTGAACGCTGTGCGATAGCTTTCTACAGGGATTTCCCGTTCACAGTATTAATGGAGAAAAGGCAGTTGGCTCCAATTGCCAGACGAGTGAGGGACAACTCTGTCAAGTATAGATGGGGAATGGAAGGCCCGAAAGTGGATGACCTTAATTACTTTGACCTCTGCGGATGACCCATAGACTTTCACCTGCACTTGTTACCTAATCTGCCTAGATATAGAGCTAATCTGCCTAACCTAACCCTAAACTGCACCTATGGCACACTGTAGCATGACTCTTGTCATCAAAAATAGGATGTCTACAAACTTTATGAATGGGGATTGGCTTATGGAGGGTCACCTTTTGGCAAAATTATTGGGTTCACTTTAAAGACTATATCACTGGAGGAAGACGAGGAATACTTGTAGGCTTGTAATAAAGTTAATAGTTATGCCTTCCATACACTCAATGATTTTTTTCAAAACACCCCATGTGACAATTCGCCACTTGGTCCTGGAGAGGCCTGCTTGCCAGCCTCCTCCCCTGTAACTATGACACTTTGATGTATTCTACCTTCAGACAGACTATTTATGTAGGTTGCTTTATTTCTCTTATGTTTTAGTCACCCTGTACCCATTATAGGTGCAGGGTGTGTGTAATGTAATTGTTTATAGTGTGTGTGTGCGTGTGTGTGTGTGTACTGTGTAATGTATTGCCTGCTCTCCTGTACTGCTGAGGTTTGCTACCAACTAGGTGGATTTGGCTATGGAGCTTGTATAGTGCCCTCTGTTGGTAGCAACAGCAATATGCACTACCTGAATAACAAGACTGGTTCATTTGCATATTCGGGTAGATTTGCATATTGCTAATTCTGCAGACATGTGAGATATTTTCTGTTGGTTATTGTCTCCCCCACCTATTTGGAAATGTGCCATTGTGTTGTGATAAGTCACTGTATGTTGCCTGATATGGTTTGACTGTTTGTGATTGTGACAAAGTGCCCTTAGCCACTTGTGCCTGGAGAGGACTGCTTGCTCGCCTCTTGCCCTGTGACTATAGACCCTGGGAGATTTGGCCCGTTCAATTCAGTATGATAGGAGTTATGTATTTTTGTATCCTTTTGTGTTTTACCTGGAACATGTGCTCAATGGAGTCTGCTTCTATCCCTGGATAATTGGATTACTTTCCCCATTGTCTCCAGGCTAGAGGACTCTGTAAAACCAGTTTGGGCCAGATAGCCAGCCAGGCCCCAAAAGATACTTTACTAACTTCTGAACCCCTGGTCTGATTCATGCCATTTTTTGATATGTTGTTTCCCTGAATGGATTGATTGGAACATATAAATATGTGAATGTGATGTATATTTTAGAAGTTATGAATGCTGTAAAAACTGTATTATTTCTGGCCAGCAGATAATTGAGCTTTGTGTATTGTAGAAGCTCAATTATCTAGCCTGGCCCAGAGGAGGAGTTTTGTGTTGCATAAATTGTGAGTTCTGTGTGCCAGTAAATCAGTCTTGTTCCAGCATTAAGCCTTGGCTCATGTTTGGGGGATTGGAGAAATACACTCTGGGGATTGCTATAATCACTATACTCCCCAGGGTATGATCACTAAGTTCCTGCTCTCTGGAGAAAGAGAGGTTCACCCACTGGAAGCTGGATCCTGGCCTTGGGTCCAGGGTGAGTGGAGACAACAGAGACCCTGGCGCAGTTGCATCGCTGGAAGTGGGGTCTTCAGTGCTGATGGTGTCGGTTGGAGTGCTTGGAGTCCTCAGCGAGCACTAGGAGCATCGATTGGCGGAGGTACTCAGTCGGAGTGCCAGCGGTCCGTCACAGTGATTTTATTGAGTTTTCACAGCAATGTTAATGTGATGACCAGATGGGCTAGTCCCAAGTAAAATAAAGGTTTAGACAGTTCTTCTTGATTCCTCTAAACGTAGCCTTGTCTCGTTATTGGAGGGAGCTGTGATTATCACACTGGGGATTGCTATGCTCTGCATAGTCCCCTGAGCTTGAATCACTTAGCTCTTTTAAGAGCTTGTTCCTGACACTCTCTCCTTGGAGGAGGGGTCTTCCTCGCACAGTCCTGGATGCTGGAGGTTCATACAGGGTGGAAGGAAGAGGTCTTTTCCACACGGTCCTGGAGGACAGAAGCTGATCCACGGTGGAAGGAAGATGGCAAGACTCCGGTCAAGCTACGGTGGTTGCGGAGTCTGCGGTGGTTGTGTTGTGTGCTGCAGTGCTTGGAGTCCTCAGGAAGCGCTAGGAGCATCCTTCAATGGAGGTACCCAGTCGGGGTGCCAGGTGATCCGTTACACCCCCTATTCTTAATTCTAAAGAACTATATTCCCTAATTTTATCCCTAACCCCCAACACAATGCACCCAATAACTTTATCAATCTAATCTAAATCCTTCTACGCTAAGGATCCACATAGTCTACTTAATTTTAATCCTAATCTTAAACTCCCTATCTTTAAACACTCACAAATGATAAACCTACCTCCAGTCTTAATCCTTAATCCCAGTAGCATAAGCATACTCAAACCCCCTAATCTCTACATCTCTAAAGCACCTGCTGTCAATACCTGCTGTCAATACCTGCTGTCAACACAACAGACATGGACATAGAACCAAAATTGTAGATTTCAAAAGAATGAAATGTGCAATTCTCTAAAAGGGCCCTGTAACGTCACAAAAACTTGGTATACATGGGGGAATTTAGTATTCAGGAAATGTAGCTGGTTTACAAAACACACTACAATGTGCATGAGAAAAAACTGCATACAACAGAAATTAAGAGAAATTAGTGACGGGGTGGGCAGAGCCTGACCACCGATGAAGATGGACGCATGAGTCCTGAGCTCCCCTGAGCATACAATCTGCTTCCATCAGTGAAAATCCCTGCACATCCAACGGATACTGATACCACCACATACAGACACACAGGCATTCTTCATATTACCACCATGGGAGACAACAAAAAAAGGAAAAAAATCCCGCCATCGGTGGCCACGATGTTCCACAACTCTGAACAGGACACCCATTGAAAGAGCCCATCGGGCGCTGCGCCCCCTACGCCTAACTCTGCCATGCTGAGGGACTTCATCGTGAAACTGCTGCACTTCACAACAAAACGGTTCATGGCTGCAGCCCGCGACAAACCACCAGTCCACCAAGACAAGCAACTGCATTTCTTCCAGGACTTGGCACCATCTACCCTACGGAAACGCAGGGAGCTCAAACCCCCTCACCACCACCCTAGCCCAACTGGGATGGAAATACATGTGGGGCCATCCATTTAAACTCATGGTACGGAAAGAAGACCAGACACATACGCTTAATCAACCCGCTGAGATGCTGGACTTTGCCAACCAACTGGGAAACCCATTACTCTACCCACCTGCACCCACCGCTGGCGGTTCACAGGGACCTACCCGGAACCAGCATAGGGCAGAGCAGCTTCCACCTTGTATGACGCAACGAAAGAGACCCCCACCGACCCCGAAGAGTACCTCTCATGGGAACACTTGAAAGCGGTCCCTGGAACTATTGCCACACCTTATACGGACGGCCTTTCCCGCTTGGATTGCGGACCAGGTTATACCCCCACTGTTGCCTGTAACTGTATTAGGCCCCCCCTTTTTGTGGTTATGGGTCGTACTCTCTCCCTAAATATCTCCCCCTGGGGGGGCTCCAGCACCCAGATGCCCTACGCTTGCACTCTGATGCCACGCTAGTTGAAGCCTTCTAGCCCCTATGCCCCCACGTTCGAGTCCCTATATCTGAACCCCGTCAGAGAGTTCACTACTCCTACCAAAAGTCCTGGCCTCCATACCCACACAGTCCCGCCCTGGACATGCAAAGACAGTCCCGAAGGGTAACCCTACTTTACCAACACAAGCCCATACACCATACTACGGTATCCAATTGGGCCTAGATACCTTAATGACAGGCAATATAGTCCTGCAGGTGTCCACAGCCCCTACCCGGCTTTTACAATAGCTATCGAGTTGTTTCTGTTGACCTCGTGGGTCTTTCATTAATCCATGTAATGTACTGTTATGTTTCTATTGTTTATGTGCTAACACTGTATATATGATCCATTCTGGCGGGTACGGCACAAGGCCTCGGGACTTTCCTCTTAGTGGGGACCTCCTCCTAGCTCTTCACGCTCCTGTACGGGGGCATACCTCGCCCTATAATAATCCCCAGCACGGGGCAGAACAACTTGTACCCCTTCAACACCATCCCCCCGACTAGATACTGCTCCCGAAAGGCCCCCACCTGGCCAAAGCAACACTTGAATGTGCGCAAATAGACCGGTACATCCCACTGTTCCTCATGTCAGGAAACATCATGTACTGCAAGTTTGAAGGGTCCCCACTGTATTTTCACAGTAGGGCATGGAGGTTTCTCACTAGACTGTTCCTTAGCAAAACTATGTTTTTGCCATTCACATGACATCAATGTATACTTGTAATACTCAGACAGGCTAGAAACAACACTACTCGAACAGTGCCGTGGCCGGTGCCTAGGGGCTCTGCCCGGGGGGACCTCCCTTGCTTTAGAGACAACCCCCTTATTCATCATGTTCCCATATAGGGGGTAGTCCCGTCCACTAAACACTCGCACAGGGGGCCCTCTGGGGGCGTCCCCTGGCTCACACCACGCCCACGCAGCAAAGCAGCCGCGCCCACCGGGCTAACCCAACTGGGACCCCCATGTTCACCGTCGGCCACCTTCCAGGGCAACCAACCCTCTGCTGAGCTTCCTATGGCTTAGGAAGGGACCCACATTTAATCTTCGCCCAGTACAGGGACCCCTCTGGTTTGACCCTCCCCACGCTCCCGCACCATGAGCCATATCCCATAGAGCGGCTACTCCGAGGGTGCGATCCATACCATAACCCCCTCATTCCGATTACCCAATACCAAAACCTCTGCCCAATTACCCGCATTATACGGCACCAGCAGGCCCCACAGAGACAACCATCTTGTTGGGGTGAGGTTGCTGCACTCTTTGTGGACCTGTCCATTCCCAGTCTCTCCACCATGGACTCCCATGGCATTCATTGGTTTTATGGTTATGCTTTAGATTTTATAATATACTGTAATCTGTTAAGTGTATTGTTATCATTTGCCTATTATGAACAGTTTTCACGGGCACGCATGCTCAGGGGGTGGATTCAGACAAAGGTGTTCCATTGACTCTTGTACACCGAGTATCTCTCCCCACACGCAGGGAGCAACTCCCCTCACTCAATTCCCGGTCTCCCACCACCACTGTTACACCAGACAAACTCAGTCCTCCCTGGGCCTGGCTGCCTACAAGTAAGACTACTTCTTCGACTACCTTTCACCCCCTACCTCCCTACCAGATTCCCCACCCCTGTCCTACCCTGTCTTTCCTGGTTAAACCCCTCCCCTTTTTTTTTTATCTCCCTCTCCCCCCATCCGCCTCGTCTTCCCTTATGCCTCAATAGGGGCACACTCACCTCACAGAACAGCATTAGCAACTTAGTGGTATGAAACCCCCATGATGCAACCTCTTTTCACTTGCATATCCATTAATTGCAAAGGCCTTAATAACCCCTCCAAACGCCACCAAACCATGCGCTGGGCAACCAGAACCCAAGCACAAATCGTTCTCCTACAGAAGGCGCCTTTCCACCAAAATTGGGCATTTCCCCTCCAGAACCGACATTTCAACAGATATTTCTTAGCTAACTCCCCAACAGGCAAACAAAATGGGGTAGCAATTATGCTTCATAAATCGTGCCCTTAACCATTGAGAAAACTAGCACTGACCACCAAGGACGCTACATCACGGTTGCCGGCAAAATAGGCTCCCAAAAATATGCCTTCGCCTCGATTTACGCGCCCAATGTCCCATGTAACTCCTTCTGGCATGTTTTACAGGCCCACTTCCTACTATTCTCCTCATATCACCTGGTAGCAGGAGGGGACTATAATGCAACCTCATCCCCTTCGCTAGACAGACGACGTACGGGGACCCGTGCGACTCTCCAGCCCCTCACCGCCAAATCTGACAAACTCTTTCAAACTTTTCTCTCACAAACATGACTTTTCTCCCATCTGCACCAGTCCCACTCGCGCATTGATATGTTTTTGATCTCTCCCTCCTTAATACCGTTCGTTAAATCTATGTATTTCGGCTCCATTACATGGTCGGACCATGCTGATATCACGCTTGCCCTTAATTTACCAGACACAACCAGACAATGGTGATTGAACTCCACGTTACTGCACAACCCTCTTATTCGAGAGTCAATGTCGCAGGCCATCGCCGACTACTTCACCCTAAATAAAGAATCGGTGACCTCGACTAGTATCTTATGGTTACAAAACTGTTATCAGGAGCACCTTAATCGGCCAAGCCTCATATCATAAAAAGCAATGTTTAATGAACTTGGAACGAACGAGAAATACTACCATGTGTTTTATAGTCAGTCAGGAGTCTTTGTATTACTTATTTCAAAATGGGTGGGATGCCGCAGTAACCAGTCTCTCATAGTCAACGATGTTTTTGGTTGGTTGTAAGGACATGTAAAAATAATCGCTCTTAATTAATGACTTTTGACTGTGATATTGTTCATATTTGCATCATGTTGCATATCTTACTGTGGTGTCTGATCTTAAAATCTTAAATTCCAAAATATCACACTATCAAAACACCATAAAGGACTTCATATGAGCAGACTCCGCAAAAGTCATCCAATGGACCCGACAGCTCTACACCCTGTTCCAAATTATTATGCAAATTCTATGTAAGTGTCACAAAGATTAAATATTTTGTTTTTCAGTTTAACGCAGGGGTAGTCAACCTTTTTCTACCTACCGCCCACTAATGCATCTTTCTTGAGGGAAAAATGTCCTTACCGACCACCAGTTTTTGCGCAAGTGCGGAATATTTTGTAGAAAGGAGGGTGTTTTCAAAAAAAAAAAAAAGTACGTACATTTATCTTTTTATTTCTACTTTATGCATGTTTGTAATGTTAACTTTATAAAGTTTAATGAAAAAACAAAGTAAATTGAAATTACCTTTACTGGTGATTAATGAGATCCTTGAGGCTGATGCTGCGAGACTACATTTTTTTATTTTTATATCCGGTTCGATTTTCGTAACGAACAAACAAAGGTCTCCTCTTTCTGTGATATTCAGATGATTTCTCTGTTTGCTCTTAATATGATTTCTCTTCCTTGCATCAGCTCCCCTCCTCTCCCTCCTCAATTTCCCCCTTTTCCTTTCTTCTATGTCTTTACCTTCCTTATAGCAATGCCCAGCAGGAAGGCTGAGCTACTAGGTAGCCCACTTATTATTATTATTATTATTATTATTATCCAACAACAATTCTCTCCTTTTCGTTTTTATATTTTTTTATTTTCCTTCTTCCTTCTTTCTCCTTTCTCCTACCTAATCCAACTCCTCCCCTTCTTCTACCTGCGTGTTACACTTGTTCACGAGCGCACGCATTCGTGCTTCCCCTGCGCGAGCGTTCTGCAACCTCGCACTTACTGCTTAACACTTAGTGCGTGAGAGATGAACAGAGCATTCATCTCTCTGGATGACGACCCATGGTTTAACGCATGGATGGCATTGTGTCTCAGGGCTCTTTTGATCACTGAAAACAATCTCGGACACCTGTGATAATTAGATTGCCAGATGAGCCCAATTTAAGGAAAAACTACTAAAAGAGGGTGTTCCACATTAAGCAGAGCACCATTTTCATGCAATATGGGGAAGAAAAAGGATCTCTCTGATGCCGAAAAGAGTGAAATAGTTCAATACCTTGGACGATGTATGAAAACATTAGATATTTTACGAAAACTTAAGCGTGATCATGGCACTATTAAAAGATTTGTGGCTGATTCAGAGCACAGACGGGTCCATGCAGATAAAGGCACATTGAGCAAGATTTCTGCCAGATCCATGCATCGGATCAAGAGAGCAGCTGCTAAAATACCATTACATAGCAGCAAACAGATATTTGAAGCTGCTGGTGCCTCTGGAGTCCCACGGACATCAAGGTGTAGAGTCCTCCAGAGTCTTGCAACTGTGCATAAACCTTCTATTGGCTCACAAGCAGAAACGTCTGCATTGGGCAGAAAAATACATGAACACTAATTTTCAAACCGTCCTGTTCACTGATGAGTGCCGTGCAACCCTGGATTGTCCAGATGGATGGAGTAGTGGATGGTGGACAGCTGCGATGTCAGCAAGGCGGTGGTGGAGTCATGTTTTGGGCCAGAATCATGGGAAGAGAGCTGGTCGGCCCCTTCAGGGTCCCCGAAGGTGTAAAGATGACCTCTGCAAAGTATGTGAAGTTTCTGACTGACCACTTTTTTCCCTGGTACAGAAGGAAGAACTACACTTTCCGTAATAAAATCATCTTCATGCATGACAATGCACCATCTCATGCTGCAAAGAATACCTCTGCATCAATGGCTGCTATGGTGATAAAAGGAGAGAAAGTCATGGTGTGGCCTCCATCCTCCCCTGACCTCAATCCTATTGAGAACATTTGGAGCATCCTCAAGCAAAAGATCTATGAGGGTTGGAAGCAGTTTACATCCAAACAGCAGCTCTGGGAGGCTATTCTGACATCTTGCAAAAAAATTCAAGCAGAAACTGTCCAAAAACTCACAAGTTCAATGGATGCAAGACTGGTGAAGCTGCTTTCAAACAAGGGGTCCTATGTTAAAATGTAACGTGACCTGTTAAAATGTTTAAAAAGTTAAAATGTTGTTATAAGTTTGATTGAAATAGCTTTTGATTTCAGTAAATATGCTGCAAACACAACAAATGACAATTTTCAGTTCTTTACAACCTATAAAGTGTTTTGAAACTTACTGAGCGTAATAATTTGGAACAGTGCATTGTAAGTTTTTTTTTTGTTTTTTTTTAGGGTAACAGTATTTTTTTTTTTATCATTAGGAGGTTTGTTCAATAAAATTTGAATTGTACTCTTAATAGTTGATAACATGAGAATTATGCTGAATGTTATTTACATCAATTATTTAGGTAAATGAGAAAAATATAATTTGCATAATAATTTGGAACAGGGTGTATTACCATAAGTCCAACAAAGCACACACCCTACTCGCCCGCAAACTTAACAGCAGGGCAACCCATAAACACATCGCTAAGATTCACTCCCCAGACAGACGCACACATGAAACACCGGCACAAATAGCAGCGGTATTTCAAGAGTACTTCTCTGCACTCTATGACCACAGCCCCCAGAACTGACGTGACCCTAACCTGATCACTGCCAAGATCGATAAATACCTAAATTCTGTTAAATTACCATCAGTTACTCCCGAAGGGGCAGGGAGATTAACTGCAACAATCACCCAAGAACTAGCCAACACTCTCAAAACACTGAAACCAAATAAATGCCCCGGCCCGGACGGCTTCTCAGGCCTGTATTACAAAAACTTTGCTCCCTCACTACTCCCACATTTAAATAACCTTTTCAACCCAATACTGACCGGCGACCAACTACCCCCAGACATGCTCCAGGCAAACATCTGCCTCCTCCGCAAACCTGACAAATCTCACCTAGAACCTAGTCATTTTAGGCTAATTTCACTACTCAACGTGGACATCAAGTTATTCACAAAACTAATGGCAGAGAGACTTAACCTACCAAAACGTATCCACCCGGACCAAGTGGGGTTCATCCCAAACAGACAAGCTAGCGACAACACCAGACGCACGTTTGATCTAATTTGGTATGCTAACCACCGAAAGATCTTCACCCTGGTCCTATCCCTTGACGCAGAAAAGACCTTTGATAGACTGCTATGGCCCTTCCGCTTTGCGGCGCTCCAGAAAATTCAGCTTCCCACAATCCTTTATTGAAGCCCTGCGCATGCTATACTCCTCCCCCACAGCTAATCTATTTCTCCACTCCTCAAAACCACCATCCTTCCAAATACTGAATAGAACAATCCAAGGCTGCTCCCTCTCCCCGATCCTGTTTGCCTTATGCCTCGAACCTCTCCTCCAACTACTTAGGGAACACGATGACATCCACGGCCTGACTTTTCGCGGCGAAGAGTACAAAATAGCTGCGTATGCAGATGACTTGCTCCTAATGGTAACTTACCCGCTACGCTCTCTCCCACCTCTCATAACCGCACTAGACAACTACGCTGCAGTTTCTGACTACAAACTAAATATGGACAAAACCAAAGCCCTATCAATACACATAGAACACCTAACACTTAACGCCCTACAATCGCAATACCCATTTCAGACTTCCACCATTAAATACTTAGGCACGATACTTCCCGCCGACCTCACACAAACCTACAATCACAACTATACACCCCTGCTTGACAAAGCCACACAGGACCTAGAGAAATGGAAGGACATGTCAATCTCATGACTAAGCCGTGTGGCCTCTATAAAAATGAATCTCTTACCGAGGTTCTTATACCTCTTCCAGGCCCTCCTGATATTCATCTCAACATCCGACTTCAAAAAGCTACAAACTGACATAGACCGAATCATTTGGGCCAACAAAAGGACCAGGATTACATGCCTCACACTTTATGTCCCGAATAAAGTCGGCGGGTTAGGAGTACCTAACTTCACAATAACTTTGCCACATTTGGCCTTAAACGTTAGGTAGACTTAGAACACAACTTCGGGAGGGACGCATTATATATTTGGCTCCCAAAACAAGCTAAACCTCCTACTCCTTCCTCCTCCCCGGCAATACTCACATCAATCAAGATATGGGACAAGGCAACGGCAAAATTCAACCTCGTATGAAACCTCTCCCTACTTATGCCTATCCTCAGAAACACGCAGTTTACTCCCGGCATGGACCCTAGAGACTTCATACATTTCGATGATAACGACTTGTCCCGAATCCACCAATTCTACATGAACCAACAGCATATACCATTTGCTGACCTCCCACAGCAAACCCCATTTACAACCCACGACTTCTTTCAATACATTCAGATTCCTAAGCGAACCCAACTATAAACGAGCGAGCACCACCCCCCTAACACCTCTTGAAAAAGCTTGCGGCAAATATACTGTCCAAAAGGGACAAATCTCTACGATATACTCTCCCACTCAGAATACACAGGACAGTTCCCCGCTTTACAAAATAAATGACGCCATGAAAATGGATAAACTCTCAGTTCTTGTACATGACACCACTAAACATTTTGAAAAAATATGGGAACCCTGGATATTCTAATTCCCAATCCCCACCTAACACCTCCTCCATGGAAGGGACTAGGTGGGGGGGAAACCCCCACCCTGATCCGCACCCAAACCCTTTCTCCTCTTATATTTTTTTTTCTCTCAGTTCCCCAGCCCCCTCCTCTCCACCTACCTCTCTACCCTTCCCCACACTTCCCATCTAGACCCCCATCCAGCAACTCCCCCTACTCAGACTGTTGGCCACCTACACAACCACCAAACTACAACCACCCACATCTCCACAAGCTTCGCTGGAAGCGACAACCACCCTCCAGTGACAACACTAACTAACCCACCCATCACCCGCTCCGGGCTCCAAGGGCTCTGTAGTCCCAAACCCTGGCTCATTAAATTGATCAGCTCCAGTGAGTGAACCACTCAAACCCCTTAAGCTAACACTACACTCAAGCACCCCCGCAGCCTGCGATCATGTTAAACAGTGGCTTAAACCTATGTTCCCACTCTTAGCAAAGTAACCCCCACCAGACCCCTGACCACATAGCACTATCATAAGCGTGCCAAACCACGACCATTATCACACACCAGATTGGTTCTTGGGCGCCTAAGCCCTGCCACCGACCAATATAATGTTAAAAAAAAAGCAAGGCTTAATACAATATGAGGTTGCATAGTGATATTGTCTTGCATTGCAATGTACCCTATTTTACCTAAAACCTCTGTTTTTTCCTTCTTTTTTTTTTTTTCATGTTGACAAACTTGTACCAGATTCCACAGGTAACATCGGCAGATCCTGGGGTTTATACTACTTGCCCTTATGTTGTATGTTGTACATTCAAGTGATATACTCTTCCTTTTTAATGTCAAAAAGACTGTACTTTTCATGTCTTATACCCACTTCCATTTTTTATTCTGTAACCCTTAATTCCGACACAACAAAATTTTAAAAACTATAAATAAAGAATTTATTTTTAAAAAAAAGAAATTGGTGACAAATACCCCATCATAAGGCTCTAGATATCCCAAGATATCTACTTTTGCAAATTGTATGGATTTATAGAATAATATTAATTTGTGAGCTGCCAAAATGAGACAGATCCTGCAATCCAACATCAAATTTAGGAGTTTGAAAACTTAATTAGGCATATCTACAATTTATTGCTGTACTTAATAGATGTACCCAAGTATAAAATAAATTTTTAACACAGCTACAGTAAACAAATGTATACAGGCTCAGTACAATCAGGTTGGTGGTAATCTGTTAAGTAACAAGACTATACAAAGAAAAAACTATACAATAAAAAAAGATTTATAGTAAGAATAATCTATCAGATTTAATTAGATATTATTTTTATATATATGTTATACTTGCTTTATTGTACAAACAGATTATTCATGGAAACAATAGTTAATATGTGTGGAAAAGAATCAAATCATATCATTTTGTAGTTAAAAAGGTTAATGTAATTCTATGTGTGGTCACATGTGAGAAAATACAATATACATAATATTACGACAAATATTGGCATAGATTGTTGCTACAGCAAAAGTCAAATGTAACATATCAAATTACTCCTAGATAATTACTCCTACATAAAAATAATATTACGTGTGTGCGGCTATTTGGTTTCTATGGCTGCTGATAACCTATGGGTAAAAAAAATAATTTAGAAAAATGTAATCTTTGAAACTCGTGCTTCTTGTAATTTGTAACCTGTAACATCCAAACTGAATAAAATACAATGTACTCTATAAATCAGGACAAAAAAAAAATATTTTGAAGTACATTTCTTTAGCTGTACTTGTTTTTTTTATTCTGTTTTTTTTTTAATTTTTTTTTTTTATACTAAATGGGTTAAATAGGCACTGAACCACTTAATTAGCCTATGAAATATTATCTCTGTAATGATACTTAATTTGAATGATTAACTTAATTTCAAACTTGTACCTTTGGAAACTGCACTTTGATAAGCTGAAAGAAGTATTTTATTTTGTTTTTAATAAAGCACAAATTGTATGAAAAACATTAATCATAAGACACAGCAATTATACAATAAGTACTAAGCATACATGGAAAAATGTGGCCATACTCTCTAGATTACAGTACAAACATTTAACATTTACAGGTACAGTTGCAAGAAAAAGTATGTGAACCCTTTGGAATGATATGGATTTCTGCACAAATTGGTCATAAAATGTGATCTGATCATCATCTAAGTCACAACAATAGACAATCACAGTCTGCTTAAACTAATAACACACACAGAATGAAATGTTGCCATGTTTTAATTGAACACACCATGTGAACATTCACAGTGCAGGTGGAAAAAGTATGTGAACCCTTGGATTTAATAACTGGTTGAACCTCCTTTGGCAGCAATAACTTCAACCAAACGTTTCCCGTAGTTGCAGTTTAGACGTGCACAGGGGCGGACTGAGAACCCTCAGGGCCCCTGGGCAAAATAAATCAAGGGCCCCCTTACAGGCCCCACCCATACTCCGCAGCAAGCGCCACCCTTGTCCCGCCTCCATGCACCGCCTCCAGCCACACCCTACACAATCTTTAGACACAAGGAACAAAAGTGCAATAATCCCTTCGAGGCCACAGTAGAGACTTCAATTAAGGGCTAATGAGCCATGGAGGGGGGTCTTTCTAGCAGAGGCTATCTCAGTGTCCTTTAGAGAGTGTGTTAGAAAGAATCTCCTCCAAGCCCCATTAGAGACTACAATGGATTCTAATAGGCTTGAAAGGGGGTCTTTCTAACAGAGGCCATCTCAGCGTCCATTATATAGCCCCTGCTGGAAACAGTCGCCTCCAGGCCCCAGTAGAGACTACAATTGAGGGCTAATGGGCCATGGAGGGGATTTCTAAGAGATGCTATCTCAGTTTCCTTTAGAGAGTGTGTTAGAAAGAATCTCCTCCAGGCCCCATTAGAGACTACAATGGAGTCTAATGGGGCCTGAAGAGTGGTCTCTCCAACACTCTGGTTCCTATTCACAATATAGCAACACAACATAGCTCACTGATACCTAGGCCAAGTTGGCTCCTCTTACCTTAATTACTGTTGCTGGCTGGCAGTCTGTGGGCTTGCTGGCTGCGGGCTTGCTGACTGCGGCTGGCAAACTGGCTGGCTACTGGCCAGCCTGTGGGTGGGCTGGCTGGCTGGCTACTGGGGCACTTGTAGATTATTTAAAGAAATAACCACTATAACCACTACTGCTCCAGAGTAAGTAGTCAAACCGTTTAAGAACAGTTTGACAACTTACCTGGGGTCTGCTGGGATATGGGGCTGTAGTAGGGAATAGGAACAGTGGTGCAATGTGTGTGAAAGGTTCAGTGTGTGTGTGGGGGTGTAGTGTGTGAATGTGTAGGGTGTGTGGGCAGTGTATGTGTGTGGCAATGTTAGTATGGGGGGCTGTGTATGGGGGTCTGTGTGTATATGGGTGGGCAGTGTATGTGTGTGTGTGAGGCAATGTATGTAAATGTGTATGTTGTATGTGGGGGGGCAGTGTGTTTATGGGGCTAGAGTTCACTCTCACAACTGTGACCAGGGCTAGAGTTGACTCTCGCAAGAGCGGTAACGTTGCCATGGTAACTGCGGCAACGCTCTGTGCTTGCGCAAGAAGGACCCAGAGGAGCTGCAGGGTGAGGTCCCCGGGTCCTCTCTTCCTCCCTCCCCTGCCCGCACGGTGCCTGCGGACAGGGAAGGGGGGGCAATTGCCCTGTTGCCCCCCTGGATCCACCAGTGATATATACAGTCCTTCTGTGTGCCTTTTTGTCTCCCCCCGTCCCTCTGTATGTTTTCTTCTCCCCCCACCTTCCCAGTCTCTCTTACCCCTCTGCCTCTTTCTCCCTCTCTTCCACTGTTTTTCTCCCCCCTTTCCCAGTCTCTCTCTCCCCCACATCTCTCTTCCTCTCTGTCTCTTTCTCCCCCTGTGTCTCATTCTTCCCTCTCTGTCTCTTTCTCCCCCGTCCTATCTCTCTATTCCCCCTCTTTCTCCCC